CCAATCCTACAGCAAAAAGGGTGAGAATTACTATGGATATGAAGAAAGAGATCATTGCTAAGTATGAAAGTGGAGTGCGTGTCTCCGAGCTGGCCAGGTTGTACACAAAACCCCAATCAACCATCGCTACTATTGTGGCCAAGAAAACGGCAATCAAGGAAGCTGTTCTTGCCAAAGGTGCAACTATGTTTTCGAAACTGAGATCGCAAGTGATAAAAGATGTTGAGACTGTTATTGGTGTGGATAAACGAAAAACAGATAGCAGGAGATAGCATCTCTCAAGCGATCATATGTGAAAAGGCTAGGAAGTTGCATGACGATTAGAAAAATGCCAGCAACTAGTGGTGATGTGAGTGAATTTAAGGCCAGCAAAGGTTGGTTTGAGAGATTTAAGAATTGTAGTGGCATACATAGTATGATAAGGCATGGTGAGGCTGCCAGTTTGGACCAAAAAGCAGCTGAAAAATATGTGCAGGAATTCAAGGAGTACATAGACAGTGAAGGACTGAAACCTGAACAAGTGTTTAATGGTGACACTGACAATGTTGTGAAACACTTTAGGAATGTCATAAAGGAACGGGAGGTACAGGCCTCTATTTTTATTTTATTTTTTTTTTTATTTAGTAATTTTAGCATACATACAGAGGTACAAAAAAATACAGGTAAGAGCAGCATGCCAAAGCCACTTATATGCATAGCATTACGGGCTGGCTTAAAATTAACTTAAGATTAACTAAGCAATGATGAAATCAGTAATAAAACATTATTGTAAACAGATAACTATAAAGCACAAATGAGTATTACAAAGACAGGTCATATGGTTGCATGCATTGCTGTACATTCAGTCGAATGGAGTATTCTGTTAGGTAGTGTATTTAAAAAAATAATGAAGTTAGATTGGGTCCTAGGTTTAACATTTGTGTGATATAATTGTGAGTAACATTTAGGATATACAATTTATAAGGTTCAGTTATTCAGTATTTATTTGGTTTGAGTGAGTAAGTGATCTTTGAGAAGAGACTTGAATTATAAACAGGTAGTGTTTCTTTTATATTTACAGGTAATGAATTCCAGATTTTAGGGCCTTTTATGTGCATTGAGTTTTTGCATAGCGTGAGATGGACACGAGGAACATCAAAGAGTGATCTGTGCCTTGTGTTTGGTCATGTGTTCTGTTGAGGTTGGCAAGGAGATGTTTGAGGGGAGGGTTAATATCAGAGTTAAGTGTTCTATGTATGTAATAGGTGCAGTAATAAGTATGGATGTTTTGTATGGTGAGTAGGTTTAGTGTTTTGAATATTGGTGGAGTGTGCTGCCTGTAGTGAGAATTTGTTATCATTCTAACTGCAGCCTTTTGTTGGGTAATTAGTGGTCTGAGATGGTTAATTGTTGTTGAGCCCCATGCACAAATTCCATAGGTGAGATAGGGGTAAATAAGAGAGTGATAAAGGGCCAGGAGGGCTGACTGTGGAACATAGTACCGTATCTTCGATAGTATGCCTACAGTCTTGGAAATTTTCTTAGAAAATTTGTTGTATATGTGTATGAAATTTGAGTCTATTATCAAGGTGGATTCCTAAGAATTTTCCCTGTTAGCTTTGTGATAGGTGATCTGTTTATCATTATGTTAAGAGGGACATCTGTAGCTCTGTTACCAAACTGAATGAAGTAGGTTTTGTCAATGTTTAGTGTAAGTTTGTTAGTCCTCATCCAGGTAGATATTTTCTGTAATTCGGTATTTACAGTATTGGCTAGCGTGACTGGGCTCGGGTGAGAGAAGACGTATGTAGTGTCATCTGCAAATAGTGTGGGTTTGAGTAATTGCGAAGCATTTGGTAGGTCATTTATGTATAGGAGAAAGAGAAGAGGGCCAAGGACACTTCCCTGTGGGACACCAACTGTAATTGGTTGAGCGGAAGAGCTTGCCCCATTTGCGTACACATATTGGCTTCTGTTGCTGAGATATGACTTGAGGTAGTTGAGGGAGTGCCCTCTAATACCATAGTGTGACAATTTTACGTGGAGCAAGTCATGGTCAACTGTATCAAAAGCTTTACGTAAGTCAATGAAGATCCCCAGTGGGACTTCTTTTTTCTCTATTGCAGTGTATATATGTTCTAGCATGTGTATAATAGCATCAGTATTTTTATTAGGCCTGAATCCAAATTGGCAGGGGTTGAGAATGTTTTGGGAGATGAGGTAGGAGTAGATTCGTTTATGAATTAATTTTTCGAAGATTTTTGAGAGAGGGTGTAAATTGGATATTGGCCTATAGTTATTCAACTCTGTTTGGTCTCCTTTATGGATCGGGGTGACCCTTGCTATTTTGAGAGCTGTAGGGAAGGTGGAGGATTCAATGGATTTGTTAAAGAGTGTTGCAGTGATTGGTGATAGTACTTGTGACACTTTTTTGTATATAAAGGGTGGTAAGGTATTTAAATCTCCTGCCTTGTTTTTTAGTGCGTTGATAATAAGGGAGACTTCGTATGGGTTAGTCGGAGCTAGGAACAGTGTGTTCGGGTAGTTGCCAGTGAGGTAGTCATTTGGTGGGGTATCTGAGCTTGAGATTTTATTGGCAAGGTTTTGTCCTATAGTGGAGAAGAAATCATTGAGTCTGTTTGCTGTTTCTGTTGGTGGGAGTTGAGGTTCATCTGATTTTGCTAATTTCATTTCGCTATTTCGTGATATCTTTTTTGTTCCCAGAATTTCTGATAGGGTCTTCCAGGTCTTTTTTATATCACCTCGTAAGTTGGATAATCTGTTCTCATAATACAATTTTTTTGCCCTTCTTATCAGGCTGGTTAGGATTGACGAGTAACATTTTGTTTGGTCTCTGGTTATGTGACCCATTCTGTACTGTTTTTTATATCGGTGTTTTGTATTTATGGACAGAGGTCCAGTGACTCTCAAGCTGGTCCTAGTGGCATTAAAAGAAGAAGGGAAGTAACCCCAAAAAAGGACTTGCCACCTCAAGTCCTAATGGAAGGGGATTCCCCTTCTAAACACTAAGACCATCAACACACTCCCCTCTTCCCATCCCATCAATCATCACCAGATCTTCAATAAAAGGTAAGTGTAATGTAACTGTGCATGTCTTCTTCAGTTTGTGTGTATTAAAATTAATATTTCATGTGCTAAATTTTTTTTTTCAATACTTTTGGGTGTCTTGCACGGATTAATTTGATTTCCATTATTTCTTATGGGGAAAATTAACTTGACTAACGATTATTTTGACTAACGATGAGCTCTCAGGAACGGATTAATAGCGTTAGTCGAGGGTCCACTGTACAGCGGACCCCCGCATAACGATCACCTCCGAATGCGACCAATTATGTAAGTGTATTTATGTAAGTGCGTTTGTACGTGTATGTTTGGGGGTCTGAAATGGACTAATCTACTTCACAATATTCCTTATAGGAAGAAACTCGGTCAGTACTGGCACGTGAACATACTTCTGGAGTGAAAAAATATCGTTAACCGGGGGTCCACTGTATAAAGATACAATATAAAAAGTGACCTGAAATAATATAATAAAGTCCATGTAGAATATAATAACAGGGACCCAATTATATATATACCATCCTATTACACATCCCTCCAAACTGCCAATATCCCAAACCCCTCCTTTAAAGTGCAGGCATTGTACTTCCCATTTCCAGAACTCAAGTCCGGCTGTATAAAAATAACCGGTTTCCCTGAATCCCTTCACTAAATATTACCCTGCTCACACTCCAACAGCTATAGTATTTACAACCCAAGCTTCACACCCATGTAAGTGTGTTGGTACCACTACACTTTCATATATTCCCTTCTTTGCCTCCATAAATAACATTTTTTTGTTGCCACATATACCTCAATGCACCACTCACCTCCTTTCCTTCATCAATTCTATGGTTAAACTCATCCTTCATAAACCCATCCACTGACAAGTCAGCTCCCAAATATCTGAAAACATTCACTTCTTCCATACTCCTCTCCAATGTGATATCCAATTTTTCTTTATCTAAATCATTTGATACCCTTAGCACCTTACTCTTATCTATGTTCACTTTCAACTTTCTACCTTTACAAACCCTCCCAAACTCATCCACTAACCTTTGTAACTTTTCTTTAGAAAATAAACAAACACACACACACACACACACACACACACACACACACACACACAGGGCCAGAAGCCGAGTCTTGATCCCTGCAACCACAATTAGGCGAGCACGCACGCACTCACACACAGAGGTAGGATCCATACATAGCATTAAGCAGAGGTATGATAAAGCTCACGGTTCAGGGAGAGTGACCTAGTAGCGACCAGTGAAGAGGCGGGGCCAGGAGCTAGGACTCGACCCCTGCAACCCCAACTAGGTAAGTACAACTAGGTGCACACACACACACACACGCGCACGTGCATGCACACGCACACGCACATGCACACACACACACACACAAAAAGACTAGTCCCAGAGGTAAGGGGATTGTCCTATGAAGAAAGGTTAAGGGAAATTTGCCTGACGACATTGGAGGACAGGAGGGTCAGGGGAGACATGATAACGACATATAAAATACTGCGCGGAATAGACAAGGTGGACAAAGACAGGATGTTCCAGAAATGGGACATAGAAACAAGGGGTCACAATTGGAAATTGAAGACTCAGATGAGTCAAAGGGATATTAGGAAGTATTTCTTCAGTCAAAGAGTTGTCAGGCAGTGGAATAGCCTAGAAAGGGACGTAGTTGAGGTGGGAACCATACATAGTTTTCAGATGAGGTTTGATAAAGCTCATGGAGCAGGGAGAGAGAGGGCCCAGTAGCAATCAGTGAAGAGGTGAGGCCAGGAGCTATGAGTCGACCCCTGCAACCACAAATAGGTGACGACAAATAGGTGAGTACACACACTTTTTTTTTTTTTAACACTGGCCATCTCCCATTGGGGTAGGGTGTCTTGATCTCTGTATAAATTGTCTGTGGTCATCATAAATAAATAAATTGCCATAAATGGCATATTGTATCTTGTTTATAACTTTATTAATTATGTAAAAATCTTAGCCCCATAGTTCACTCACATACTTTCAAATGATTGACATAATTATGTATGAAAGAAAATTGTATGTAGTCATCTAATATTTTACATTGCTAAATGTAAGAATATTTCAAGTGTACCTCAGAATATATACGTATATAGATTTTACTACAGGCATGATTTTGACAAAAATAAATATATGCAACATCATAATTATGTGTAAGCAAGTTAGGTCATAGTGAATGAAAGCAAATTTGACAAGCTGTTGGAGTGTGAGCAAGGTAATTTATGAGGATATTCTGATTAGTTAGACCTGTCTATACTCTGAAGGATGGGTGATATTGTGGTTTAGAGTACAAAAAATTTAGTGTATAAATAGAAAGTCTTTCCTAATTCAACAAGGAAACATAAACCCCTTAGCTGTGTGATATACTTAGTACATCACACAACTATACTAATTATATCACACAAGTACCATAATATGAAGCTACAGGTTATCACTGAAGGTATTACCTTCCCCCATTCTAGCCACACATATGCTCTAAGGCACACAAGATTATAAAACAAAAAGAATTTGTAATAACTTCCTAACACCATTAAAAGGAAGATTAAGAGGCCATAATAATAAACTAAAAAAACTACCAAAAGTATACTAGAATAGTCTTCTCTAGAAGGGCAGTAGAACAATGGAATGGGTTAGAAGGGGAGGTAATCAGTGCCACAAACAATGGAAAATTAAAAATAAAACTACATATAAATTAAATATCAAACGAGGCACCACGAGTTTAGTGCTTACAAAACACTTTATATAAGATCTTGACTTTACACTGTCATCATAATTCTGTGCACAATATTGTTTTTTAAATCACAGCACAAGTATATTACATTGCTCTATGTTATACAGGTACTTCTAATATATGTAATCATGAGCTATATATAACTTCTAAACTATACAGTACACCTGAACTATATACAGTAAAATGCAAGATCTATTTACTGTATTGCAGACCAGCTGAACTATATACAGTAGAACACAAGAACAATATAGAACAGCTGAATTATATAGAACTCTGTAAATGGTCTAATGAACTCTTGAGTTACTGCATTATCTTGCATCTTCCTCTGACACAGTGCCAAGCTCAGTGACCGAGTTGTAGTGTTCCCCGAGGCCATAGTAGTGACGGTAGTATGCCAGCACAATGGCTTTTTTGTCAGTGCAATCTTCACCAAATATAACAGGTGTGCCTTCTGCCTGAAAAAGGAAAGTGAGAGTCTAGTGTTAAGACAGTGATCATTAATGCTACAAGAATACATGTGAAAACAGTTACTTTACAACACTGTCCATAATAAGAAAATCAATATTGCCAGAATATGGCTAAACAAGACATTTCACCAATTTTGGAGGAAATACAATCTTTGATATTCAATTCTATTTTTGTTTTTTAAATGCCATAAATAAACAATTTAGTATCAAATAATTTTAGCTCAAAATTATTAAGAAGTAAAGAAGCTAGCACATTTACCATCCAGGCATTATTATTACATTCATTTGTGAGTGCTAAACCTGTAGTGGTCACACAGCACCTGAGAAGGAGGGGAGGCATTCAGGTTCAATACAAAGAAGAGGAAGAGAGGTTCAATTACATATTTGGATCAAAGCCCCTCACAGGCTTCAAGCAACCTTCCTTGAGTAGTTTACCATACAGAATAAACATTACTTTTTCCATATAAAAATAACACCATCGTCATTCATAAATTAAGAAAAATTATTAATATGATTTATCTACAGATCTATCTACCAGTACAATGGCTATACACTGTACAGTCATCTAGGAAAATAATTAGTGTACTTTTCCTGGTGAACTCCCCACATTAGAGCCTCAGGCGGTGCACTGAGGCTCTAATGCGCACCTTCACATGATGTAGCCACTCACTCGGTCCTTCTTCCCATATCTCTTATCTTTCCTTTCTTGTTTTGCACTACTGACTTACTCTTAGCCGTTGTGTTTCATTATCACCACTCTTCTTGGGTCAATAAAAATTTGTTTATAAAAACTTTATTTCATAAAACTCTATTTTCTTTTACTTTTTTCCTTCAATTTTTACACAATTTGGTGAACTGTTTTATATTCATGAAAATCACCAAAGAATTATTCTGACCTTTATACAGTACAGTATATATTAGAGAAGGAAAACTGAAGTTATTTGGTTCTGTCTCACATCATCAAGATTGATAAAGGTTTATTTATTTTATTTATTAACACATCAGCCGTTTCCCACCAAGGCAGGGTGGCCCAAAAAAGAAAAACTTTCATCATCATTCACTCCATCACTGTCTTGCCAGAGGCATGCCTACACTACAGTTATAAAACTGCAACATTAACACCCCTCCTTCAGAGCGCAGACACTGTACTTCCCATCTCCAGGACTCAAGTCCGGCCTGCCGGGTTCCTTGAATCCCTTCATAAATGTTACCTCGCTTACACTCCAACAGCACGTCAAGTCCTAAAAACCATTTGTTTCCATTCGCTCCTGTCTAACACGCTCATGCACGCTTGCTGGAAGTCCAAGCCCCTCGCACACAAAACCTCCTTTACCCCCTCCCTCCAACCTTTCCTAGGCTGACCCCTACCCTGCCTTCCCTCCACTACATATTTGTATACTCTCGAAGTCATTCTATCATTCTATTTCGTTCCATCCTCTTTACATGTCCAAACCATATCAATAACCCCTCCTCAGCCCTCTGGATAATAGTTTTAGTAATCCCACACCTCCTCCTAATCCCCAAACTACAGATTCTCTGCATTATATTTACACCACAGATTGCCCTCAGACATGACATCTCCATTGCCTCCACCCTTCTCCTTGTTGCAACATTCACAACTCATGCCTCACACCCATACAAGAGCATTGGTACAGCTATACTCTCATACATTCCCTCTTTGCTTTCATGGATAAAGCAGTGTCATCAGCAAAGAGCAACTGTGACAACTCCCACTTTGTGTTAGATTCTTTATCTTTTAACCCCACACCTCTCTTTAACCCCACACAGCGCATCCACTTCTCTTACAACCCTATTTATAAATATTCTGAATAACCAGTGACATCACATATCCTTGTCTAAGGCCTACTTTTACTGGGAAATAATCTCCCTCTCTCCTACATACTCTAATCTGGGCCCCACTATCCTCATAAAAACTCTTTACTGTACTAATTTATCAATGAAGTATATACACACTTTCCCTTGCTAGTGAAGCATGAACTTTTCCCTTGCTAATGAAGCATACACTTTCCCTTGCTAGTGAAGCATGAACTTTTCCCTTGCTAATGAAGCATACACTTTCCCTTGCTAGTGAAGCATGAACTTTTCCCTTGCTAATGAAGCATACACTTTCCCTTGCTAGTGAAGCATGAACTTTTCCCTTGCTAATGAAGCATACATTCCCTTGCTAGTGAGCATGAACTTTTTCCTTGCTATGAAGCATACACTTTCCCTTGCTAGTGAAGCATGAACTTTCCCTTGCTAGTGAAGCATAACTTTCCTTGCTAGTGAAACATACACTTTCCTGCTAATAAAGCATACACTTTCCCTTGCTAGTGAAGCATATACTTTCCCTTGCTAGTGAAACATACACTTTCCCTTGCTAATAAAGCATACACTTTCCCTTGCTAGTGAAGCATACACTTTCCCTTGCTAGTGAAGCATACACTTTCCCTTGCTAATGAAGCATACACTTTCCCTTGCTAGTGAAGCATGAACCTTTCCCTTGCTAATGAAGCATACACTTTCCCTTGCTAGTGAAGCATGAACCTTTCCCTTGCTAATGAAGCATACACTTTCCCTTGCTAGTGAAGCATGAACCTTTCCCTTGCTAATGAAGCATACACTTTCCCTTGCTAGTGAAACATACACTTTCCCTTGCTAATGAAGCATACACTTTCCCTTGCTAGTGAAACATACACTTTCCCTTGCTAATGAAGCATACACTTTCCCTTGCTAGTGAAGCATGAACCTTTCCCTTGCTAATGAAGCATACACTTTCCCTTGCTAGTGAAACATACACTTTCCCTTGCTAATGAAGCATACACTTTCCCTTGCTAGTGAAGCATGAACTTTCCCTTGCTAGTGAAACATACACTTTCCCTTGCTAATAAAGCATACACTTTCCCTTGCTAGTGAAGCATGAACTTTCCCTTGCTAGTGAAGCATACACTTTCCCTTGCTAATAAAGCATACACTTTCCCTTGCTAGTGAAGCATACACTTTCCCTTGCTAGTGAAGCATACACTTTCCCTTGCTAGTGAAGCATGACACTTTCCCTTGCTAGTGAAACATACACTTTCCCTTGCTATGAAGCATACACTTTCCCTTGCTAGTGAACATACACTTTCCCTTGCTATGAAGCATACACTTTCCCTTGCTAGTGAAGCATGAACCTTTCCCTTGCTAATGAAGCATACACTTTCCCTTGCTAGTGAAGCATGAACTTTCCCTTGCTAGTGAACATACACTTTCCCTTGCTAATAAAGCATACACTTTCCCTTGCTAGTGAAGCATGAACTTTCCCTTGCTAGTGAAACATACACTTTCCCTTGCTAATAAAGCATACACTTTCCCTTGCTAGTGAAGCATGAACTTTCCCTTGCTAGTGAAACATACACTTTCCCTTGCTAATAAAGCATACACTTTCCCTTGCTAATAAAGCATACACTTTCCCTTGCTAGTGAAGCATACACTTTCCCTTGCTAATGAAGCATACACTTTCCTTGCTAGTGAAGCATGCACTTTCCTTGCTAGTGAAACATACACTTTCCCTTGCTAATAAAGCATACACTTTCCCTTGCTAATAAAGCATACACTTTCCCTTGCTAGTGAAGCATACACTTTCCCTTGCTAATGAAGCATACACTTTCCTTGCTAGTGAAGCATACACTTTCCCTTGCTAGTGAAGCATGCACTTTCCCTTACCATCTTATCTCCCACAAAATACATAAACTGTACATGATCCATTATTATCTTGGATAGAATATCTCCTGCTACTCCTCACCATGGTCTGTCCTTCTCTTCCTCTCCTCCCTGTACCCTCTACAACACTTACTTCCTTCTTCCTCCTCTTCTCACACATTTCTTCACTATCCATTTTTACCTTTTCTATACCAAGATTAGAAAAGTATTAGAATAAGAATGGGATTTTGTGTTATTGTTTTTTCATCACTTAATTTAACTCCATACCCAAAGGGTTAGCTTGAGGCAGATGTGATATACCCAGATATAGTGTAAACACATTTATAGATATATAGATTTATAGATAAAGTGCTCTGGAAGCAGAATGGTAGTAACATTTAACAATATTACTACCATTCTGCTTCCAGAGCTAGCGCCAAGACATCTCTCAGCAAACTAACATAAATCAAGTTATTTTTATCTACACTAATACAAATCAAGTTATCTTCATCCAAGCTCCCACAACTTCATCCATCTTTATCTAAACTTACCTGTAATACTTCAATTTTTCTTTGCATCACTTGCGACAGGGCACGGAGCTGAAAAAATGAAAAGAATACAGAATACTGTACTTCACACTAAGAGTATGTAAATGAGATTTAAAATAAGAGGACACAGAGCAAGGGACAATAGTCAGCAGTATATGTGTATTAAGAAATGCCAGAGAAGGGGACGGAGTGAGGGTGAATGGTTAGGGAGGTACGTTGCAGACAGCCAAAAAAGGGTTTATAAAGTTTGGTGAAAATGGGAAACAGGGTAATGTCGAGAGACAAAAAGATCAGTCGAATATTAACAACCCATAACTTCGAGAGGAAACTGTAGACAATGTTTCAGTCCATCCTATACCATTATCATGTCTTGCAAACTGATAATGAAAATGAAAATAAATTTTATCTCCAAACAGAGCTTATAATAACTTCAAACAAAAAGTTACAAAAAGGTACAAGTTATTTAGAAAGTCATTAATTATGCACAGTATTTCTGGCAATTATGCAGCCTAGGCTAAAACATCTACAGCTTCTTCTCCCAATTCTGAACAAGTTATAGACTGTTCCAGCTATGGTGGTGTAACTCATTCTTCATCAGCCAGAAAAAATGTGCAGAGGTCAGAAATTATAAGAATCACAACAAATACAGAACTTGTGTAACCAGTGGATTGTTCAGTACAGGAAGGACATGAATAATATAAATCAGAGTAGGAAGGGGATACAGTACAGTGGAACCCTGAGTTTCGGCTGACCTGAGTATCAGCAGCTTCGAGTTTCGACCGCTTTTCTCGGCTAAATTTTGTCCTGAGTTTCAGACTGTGCCCCATATTTCGGCCGGCGTACCAGACCTGTCCACCTGCCCGTGCTTGTGCAGCAGGTGCCGTGAGCCAGTTTAGCTTTGCTTATCCTTGAGTGAACATTACCCTGCACGCTCATTAAAACATTTTACAATAAATTCATTGTGTTTAGTGCTTGTTTATTGATTGTGAAATAAGCCACCATAAGGAACTTGCTTCAGAGAAGGAGGAAGAGGGAGTGAAGGAGGTACCTTCTTCAGTGATTAAGGACACATGTGGAATGTGGAATTAAAAGGCAAAGAAAGGAAATAACCCCAGATATGGACTTGTTACCTAGTCTTTATGGAAGGGGATTCCCCTTCCAAATAATAAGTCCTCCCTCTCTTCTCCTCCCTCTCTTCTCCTCCCTCTCTTCTCCTCCCTATCTTCCAGATGCCAGCAAGACTCTTCAGTAAAGGTATGTAAATGTGATTTTAAATGTTCATTTAAATGTTTATATATTGTATTACTCATTTAAGCACTATATGTTTTAAGTACTATATATATGTTAAACTATACTTAATCTTTAAAAAATGTATTTTTTGTGAATATTTTTGTGGGTCTGGAATGGATTTACTGTATTTACATGATTTCTTATGGGAAATATTGCTTCGATTTTAGGCCGTTTCGAATTTAGGCCTAGCTCCCGAAATGGATTACAGCCTAAACTTGGGGTTCCACTGTACTTTGTTTCTCGATAGGAATGGGAAAATTTCTCCTGACACAAAACGTAATCAAGTGACCTGCTCTTTGGAGCCTCTGGATATTTGACCAAGGTCTTCTGCTGGTCCACCCCCATTAAAAATGGAATGTTGTATCACATTATAAGTTATTAAAAAAATTAAGAAATCTTTCTAAACATTCAAACAAAAGAGTGACATAGCAGCATCAAAGTATTGTACAGTAATTCATTTTTTTTTTTTTTTTAACAAGTCGGCTGTCTCCCACCGAGGCAGGGTGACCCAAAAAAGAAAGAAAATCCCTAAAAAGAAAATACATACTTTCATCATCATTCAACACTTTCACCTCACTCTCACATAATCGTTGTTTTTGCAGTGGTGCTAAGAATACAACAGTTTAGAAGCATATACGTATAAAGATACACAACATATCCCTCCAAACTGCCAATATCCCGAACCCCTCCTTTGAAGTGCAGGCATTGTACTTCCCATTTCCAGGACTCAAGTCCGGCTATATAAAAATAACCGGTTTCCCTGAATCCCTTCACTAAATATTACCCTGCTCACACTCCAACAGCTCGTCAGGTCCCAAATACCATTTGTCTCCATTCACTCCTATCTAACATGCTCATAATTATATTATTATTATTACTATTATAATCAGTGGGGAAAGCACTAAACTCTTAGAGGCTAATCAGAGGTAATCAAGTTGGATTCCAAGAAGGGGAGGATAGGTTCACTTGGATCAAGAGCCTCCTCACCAGCACGAAGGCACCATCCCTGAGACAATTATTGTACAGTGAGGGGGGATTCAATAAGATTTATTACACAAGTTAGCTAAATTACATTTAGAAACATTAACTGATCATATAGTTGCTTAGTACAGAATACAAAAATGTCATGGGAGTAACAAAGACGTGAACACCTGATATTATAATAAAACTGTTTTATGAGTTACTGTAGAAGATTAAAACTAAGATACACTGACATTACTAGTGAATGTAAGTCTCATGCATGTACCTCAGGCTGGCCGCCCCACGCCGGTGTATTTTCAATTTGAGAACAATATTCAGCAAATTGTTCAGGAGTCAAAAGTTCTCCAGTCTTGGAGTCTGTTATGAAAGGTGCAAAGGCTTCATAATTTGTGCGAATGAAGTGACCAGCTTGTGATCGCAGTGATCGAACTGTTGCTTCTCCTCCAATCTGGTGAGCTATAGCAGCATACATACTGTAAGAATTAAGGAAATATCCATGTATTCAGTTATTCATGAGTTAATGGTTTTCCTGTAAAGAAGTAAAATATGTGAAGAAATCTTAAAGCTACAAATCTTTCTTTCTTTTTTCAACACACCGGCCGTATCCCACTGAAGCACAGTGGCCCAAAAAAGAAAAACAAAAGTTTTTCTTTTTAACTTTAGTAATGTATACAGGAGAAGGGGTTACCAGCCCCTTGCCCCGAAAGCTTAAAATGTGCAATCTTAATTAATAAAAAATGGCCTGTCACTAGATATCAACAGCATTATTTAAATTAATATATACAGCCTCTCCTCACTTAATGAAGGAGTTCCATTCCTAAGACCATGTCATTAAACGAATTCGTCGCTAAGTGAGGAGCATACTATAATGGTAGTGAGTTTGTGTCAACCATCTTTGATATTGTTTTAATGTCACCTTTGCACCATTTATAACATTTCTGGTATATTTTTAAATGTTTATGCAGTAGTGTACTGTACATTGTAATAAACAGAATAGAGGAAATCAGCTCTAATATACATTATTTAGGTATGAATCTGGTCAGAGAGCCTGTCGTAAGTCCGTGGCATCGGTAAACGAGTGTACATCGCTAAGTGAGGAGAGGCTGCAATTTGTTCACAATAACATCACATGCACTACTGACAATACTGATTGCTAGGTAGAAACTTCTTTGAAGATATCAGCTAAGATAATGTAGTTTAATACTTCATACTCTCAAGGTGTCACCTAAATCTATAAGTTTTCATCTACTTATGACAAGGTTTGAAATGACATTTCTTCACACTACTTTAATGGGACCCATGTATCTACCTGGTTAATGGTCTTAATCTACAATTACCAGAGGAAAGAAATTCAGACTGTTTACAAAGGCTTGATGTGAAGTGCTTAATGTCGATAAAAAATTTTAGAGTACAAATGAGGCAGTTCAAGTAAAAACCTTGTTAATAGGCCTTCAATTAATTAGTGTAATTAAAGTAATTAAATTAGTGTACTTAAAGTAGCAAATAATTTACCCATAAGAATAGCATTCTAAATCCAACAAACGAAAAACATGAATAGGTTAAAAAAAAAAAAAAAGCAAGAAATGCAATACAGTATATTTGTATTCCTATATGTGCAGGAAAGCCACACCAATCAAGAATTTATTAATCTATGGGGTTAATACAAACCCTTTCTTGTTCATAAATTGAATGTAAAATATAAAAAGTTAGTATGTAACTGTTCCTCACCAATTGCCATCAGGTTTGATCTCTTCCATCTTGAGTTTTCTCTCTCGTAATAGCTGCTTCAGTTTCTCTGCCTCGATGCTTCGAGCGCTGAACTTGCTGTTGGCTTCTTCCTCTCGTATCCTTGCCTCTCGCTCACGGTTGGCCTCGGCTTTCTTCTGCCGACGCCTCTCTGCTTTGCTTATTTTCCTACCTGGACCAGTTTGATACATATATTATATACCCAGTGAATGTCTGACAAGGATTCAGGGATTACCACATCTACAGTTTAATATTTACCGTATTTCGTGGCTTATTATTTGCATTTTTTTTCCATAAAATGTATCCAAAAACCACCCTGCATCCTATAACTGAAGGTTAGTGATGGGAGCTAAAAGTTTGGGGTGTGGGGTGGGCTGTAGCTCTCCCAGTTATGCCCGATGCCGAGCCATTGAAACTAAAACAAGTCTTATAAGCTGAGTCTTACAAGCCACGAAATACAGCACCTAGGCCTCCAGGGACAACCTTTTTGGATCTAAGTAGCAAGTCTTTCTTTCTTTCAACACACCGGCCGTATCCCACCAAGGCAGGGTGGCCCAAAAAGAAAAACGAAAGTTTCTCTTTTAAATTTAGTAATTTATATGGGAGAAGGGGTTACTAGCCCCTTGCTCCCGGCATTTTAGTCGCCTCTTACAACACGCATGGCTTACGGAGGAAGAATTCTGTTCCACTTCCCCATGGAGATAAGAGGAAATAAACAAGAACAAGAACTAGAAAGAAAATAGAAGAATACCCAGAGGGGTGTGTATATATATGCTTGTACATGTATGTGTAGTGTGACCTAAGTAGTAAGTATTCTATTTTAATCTCTCTTCATGCTAACACTGCTTCCCTAAATGCTTATACCTCAGGTGGATGGAAGGATAAATAGGAGATGCCTGAGGTAGGGTGTGAAGTAGGTTTTGTGTGGTTTGGGCTTGAACACCTAGCAGTTATCTGTGAGTATATGAAACTGAAAAGAGTAAAGACGAGTGGCTTTTGGTACTTGGAGTGCAAGCATGCTAAAATCTGTGAAGGGATTGAGAAAAACTGGATAGATGAGCTTGAGCTTTGGAGGAAAGAAATACAGTGCGTTGCACTTCACAGGTTAGGTTGGGATGTGGTCATGACTGGTTCATGATGTTTGTGTCTTACTGGGAAGAAACTCTGAGTGCAAGTAGTAAACATAAGCTTTTCTTTAAGCCATCATACCTTGGCAGGAAATGACTTGTGTGCTAAAAAGTCATCCAATTAAGCATTTTCTGCTATGACGAATATATACATACAGAACTGGTCATTTCAGTGTGCAACCTACCTTGATCCTGCTCTGGTAGGATGGGTTCGTCCTCCCTGTTCACTTCACGCAGATCACTAAAACCATCCTGGGAAAGATTCAAGGTATCCACACCATTGCTCAGAGAAGCTTCCTGTGCACCCAGAGAACAGTAACAGTGTATCAAATACTAATTCCAATCTTCTCACTACAAGTAATATTCTTACAGTATACTTTATGTAGCTGCAGTCACTGTTTATTTCAACAAAATTAACAGAATGCAGCTCCAGGGTACTACAGCAATCAGTTTTATTTTTACTTTAAAATAGTCTAGAATATATTTTATGAGCTTCAAAAGAAACTAAACACTTACACTGTATAATGGGATTAATAAAGTATGAAAAAATATTAACCTCCTGTTCAGATGATCTAAATGCAGCTAATTCTTCCTCATGTCGGCCTTTCAGTTCTTTTTCTAGTCGAGCGATCTCCTCCCCTGCCTCCTTCTTCTTCTTTTTATCCTTATTAGTGGACTTCTTCAACTGCTGAATTCGTGCTGTAACCCAGAGTAATGAAGATTACTTATGTTAGAACATATGTAACACTTATGAAGGGATTCAGGAAAACTAATTAGCTAAACTTGATTCATGGAGGCAAGAAGTAGAGTGCTTGCACTCTGGAGGAGGGGTGGGATATTACAGTCCTGGAGGTAGGAAGTACTGTGCCTGCACTCTGGAGGAAGGGGTGGGATATTACAGTCCTGGAGGTAGGAAGTACTGTGCCTGCACTCTGGAGGAAGGGGTGGGATATTACAGTCCTGGAGGTAGGAAGTACTGTGCCTGCACTCTGGAGGAAGGGGTGGGATATTACAGTCCTGGAGGTGGGAAGTACTGTGCCTGTAGTCTGGAGGAGGGGGTGGAATATTACAGTCCTGGAGGTGGGAAGTACAGTGCATACACTCTGGAGTAGAGGTGGGATGTTACAGTCCTGGAGGTGGAAAGTATAGTGCCTGCACTCTGGAGGAGGGGTGGGATGTTATAATCATGGAGGTGGAAAGTATAGTGCCTGCACTCTGGAGGAGGGGTAAGGATGTTACAATTCAGAGGGTCATTTGCACTGCAATATCTGCGCACTTCAAGCAAGACAGCTAATGAATAAATGATGGTGAATGTTTCCCTATTGTTTTTCTGATCACCCTACCTTGGCTGGAGAGGTAACTTGATCACTTGTACTGTATCTCATTAAACATAATCATAAACACAAGTTTATAAGAGTCAAAGGTAATACACTAAACAGTTCAATTACTGTACATTACAGTAAAAATTAGATCCAAATTTATGAATCAAAGCACCCCTAAAGCAATCTTGTAATCTGATAGTGCCTGTGATGGAACAGGAGAATGCTTTATATATTTATGTGGGTGGCTGCAACAAAGTATTATTACTGGTATTATTATATTCATGGAGAAATGTTAAGCCAGTAGAGGTCATACAGCACCTGAAGAATTGGGATTAATCAGGTTTGATCCAAAATAGGAGAAAGTAGCTCCAATTTTTTGGATAAGGATCAGTAAACTATGGCCTGCAGTGGATATGGCCCACCACTTAGGTAATTTACACCCAAGTAATTTACACCATGTATGATAATTGTAGTTATGTGTACTTGTGCCTACTTACAGTCTGGCCTGTCTCTACAAAACTTTGCTGACTTCCGCCTTCACCACCACTAACATACTCCATAGATGGTTGGAAGGAGATAACCTGGCCCACAAACAGAGGCCCGAGCCTCACCTTGTAGCTGCTTCCTCTCCTTGCGGTGTTTAGCCAGAAGTTCTTCCTCTTCCTCCTCCTCCTCCTCCTCCTGCAGCAACAAATCTCCTGTCTCAGTCGACATTGTTCAGTCTCCTGGAATGTAAAGCTGATTTTGAAAAATGGAATACATATTAATATATACAGTAATCTACATGGATATATACACAGTAATATATATATGTGGATATATACACAGTAATATATATATGGATATATGCACAGTAATATATATACATGAATATATACACAGTAATATACATGGATATATATATATATATATATATATATATATATATATATATATATATATATATATATATATATATATATATATATATATATATATATATATATACTAGGTAGTAGGTTGGAAGACAACAACCGCCCAGTAAGGTATGTACGTACTACCATCCTGCCAAGTGAGTGTAAAACGAAAGCCTGTAATTGTTTTAGATGATGGTAGGATTGCTGGTGTCTTTTATCTGTCTCATAAACATGAAAGATTTCAGGTATACATCTTGCTACTTCTATTTACACTTAGGTCACACTACACATACATGTACAAGTATATATACACACACACACCCCTCTGGGTTTTCTTCTGTTTTCTTACTAGTTACACAAATAACCCGCACATAAGAGAGAAGCTTAGGACGACGTTTCGGTCCGACTTGGACCATTGACAAAGTCACATTGTGTGACTTTGTCAATGGTCCAAGTCGGACCGAAACGTCGTCGTAAGCTTCTCTCTTTTATGTGCGGGTTATTTGTGTATCGTTCCAGTCACGGTATTGTGCCTTTTTGTTATTTATTCTTACTAGTTTTTGCTCCTCATATCTCCATGGTATGTATGTATGTATGTATGTATGTATATACTGTATATATATGTATATGTATATGTATATGTATATATATATATATATATATATATATATATATATTATATATATATATATATATATATATATATTATATATATATATATATATATATACACATAATTTTTTTTTCTTTTTTTCAACAAGTCAGCCGTCTCCCACAGAGGCAGGGTGACCCAAATAAGAAAGAAAATCCCCAAAAAGAAAATACTTTCATCATCATTCAACACTTTCACCACACTCACACATTATCATTGTTTTTGCAGAGGTGCTCAGAATACAACAGTTTAGAAGCATACACATATAAAGATACACAACATATCCCTCCAAACTGCCAATATCCCAAACCCCTCCTTTAAAGTGCAGGCATTGTACTTCCCATTTCCAGGACTCAAGTCCGACTATATGAAAATAACCGGTTTCCCTGAATCCCTTCACTAAATATTACCCTGCTCACACTCCAACAGATCGTCAGGTCCCAAGTACCATTCGTCTTCATTCACTCCTATCTAACACGCTCACGCACGTTTGCTGGAAGTCCAAGCCCCTTGCCCACAAAACTTCCTTTAACCCCCTCTCTCCAACCCTTTCGAGGACGACCCCCTACCCCGCCTTCCTTCCCCTATGGATTTATATGCTTTCCATGTCATTCTACTTTGATCCATTCTCTCTAAATGACCAAACCACCTCAACAACCCCTCTTCTGCCCTCTGACTAATACTTTTATTAACTCCACACCTTTTCCTAATTTCCACACTCCGAATTTTCTGCATAATATTTACACCACACACTGCCCTTAAACAGGACATCTCCACTGCCTCCAACCGTCTCCTCGCTGCTGCATTTACCACCCAAGCTTCACATCCATATAAGAGTGTTGGTACTACTATACTTTCATACATTCCCTTCTTTGCCTCCATAGATAACGTTTTTTGACTCCACATATACCTCAACGCACCACTCACCTTTTCTCCCTCATCAATTCTATGATTAACCTCATCCTTCATAAATCCATCCACCAACATGTCAACTCCCAAGTAGTATCTGAAAACATTCACTTCTTCCATACTCCTCCTCCCCAATTTGATATCCAATTTTTCTTTATCTAAATCATTTGATACCCTCATCACCTTCCTCTTTTCTATGTTCACTTTCAACTTTCTACCTTTACACACATTCTCAAACTCATCCACTAACCTTTGCAATTTTTCTTTAGAATCTCCCATAAGCACAGTATCATCAGCAAAAATTAACTGTGTCAATTCCCATTTTGAATTTGATTCCCCATAATTTAACCCCACCCCTCTCCCGAACACCCTAGCATTTACTTCCTTTACAACCCCATCTATAAATATATTAAACAACCATGGTGACATTACACATCCCTGTCTAAGACCTACTTTTACCGGGAAGTATTTTCCCTCTCTTCTACACACCCTAACCTGAGCCTCACTATCCTCATAAAAACTCTTAACAGCATTTAGTAACTTACCACCTATTCCATATACTTGCAACATCTGCCACATTACTCCTCTATCCACTCTATCATATGCCTTTTCTAAATCCATAAATGCAATAAAAACTTCCCTACCTTTATCTAAATACTGTTCACATATATGCTTCAATGTAAACACTTGATCTACACATCCCCTACCCACTCTGAAGCCTCCTTGCTCATCCTCAATCCTACATTCTGTCTTACCTCTAATTCTTTCAATTATAACCCTACCGTATACTTTTCCTGGTATACTCAGTAAACTTATTCCTCTATAATTTTTACAATCTCTTTTGTCCCCTTTCCCTTTATATAAAGGGACTATACATGCTCTCCGCCAATCCCTAGGTACCTTCCCCTCTTTCATACATTTATTAAACAAAAGTACCAACCACTCCAACACTATATCCCCCCTCCCCTGCTTTTAACATTTCTGTCATGATCCCATCAGTTCCAGCTGCTTTACCCCTTTTCATTCTACGTAATGCCTCACGTACCTCCACCACACTTACATTCTGCTCTTCTTCACTCCTAAAAGATGGTATACCTCCCTGGCCAGTGCATGAAATTACCGCCTCCCTTTCTTATAGGTAGTAGGTTGGTAGACAGCAATCACCCAGGGAGGTACTACCGTCCTGCCAAGTGAGTGTAAAACGAAAGCCTGTAATTGTTTTACATGATGGTAGGATTGCTGGTGTCTTTTGTCTGTCTCATAAATATGCAAGATTACAGGCATGTCTTGCTACTTCTATTTACACTTAGGTCACACTACACATACATGTACACGTTTATTTATACACACTCATCGGAGTTTTCTGTGATTTTATCTTAATAGTTCTTGGTCTTATTACTTTCCCTTTTATATCCATGGGGAAGTGGAAAAAGAATCTTTCCTCCGTAAGCCATGCGTGTTGTAAAAGTCAACTAAAATGCCGGGAACAATGGGCTAGTAACCCCTTTTCCTGTAAAGATTACTAAAAAGAATAAGAAGAAATTTTTTCTTATTTTCATTAAAATTTCTTGACAGTGCCTCTCCCACTCTATCATCTGCTCTCCTTTTGCACTCTCTCACCACTCTCTTTACCTTTCTTTTACTCTCCATATACTCTGCTCTTCTTATAACACTTCTGCTTTGTAAAAACCTCTCATAAGCTACAGACAGACAGACAGACAGACAGACAGACAGACAGACAGACAGACAGACATACATACATACATACATACATACATACATACATACATACATACATACATTAATAGACATATGTGTGATGTGGATATTATGCAGAGAATTCATAGTATGGAGATTAGAAGAAGGCGTGGGATAACTAAAAGGATTATCCAGAGGGCTGAGGAAGGGTTATTGAGGTAGTTTGGACATTTAGAGAGGAAGGAGCAAAATAGGATTACTTGGAGGATGAATATATATGTAGTGGAGGGGGGCTGTAGAGGTCATGACTGGACTAACACAGGTTATATCTATATGCCAATAACATCTGTGCCCTCAAACCAATGTAAAAATTATGACATATTAGTAATTATTATTATAATCATGAGGGAGCACTAAACCCATAGGATTATACAGCACCTGTGGGGGGATATAACATAATATTTTTATTTATACAAGTACATGTACAAGGTATACAGGCCTAGCTGACATCAATGACACAGTACTATATAGAGCCACTTGTTATGTAGAGCATTTTGGGCAAATTATGTCAGTTTTGTCCCAGGATGCGACCCACACCAATCGACTAACACCCAGGTACCCATTTTACTGATGGGGGAACATAGACAACTGGTGTAAGTAAACACGCCCAGTGTTTCTACCCTCGCTGGGAATGGAACCCGGACGGGTTTAGCCACCAGGCCAGGCTTAATTCAGGGAACTGGAGAATAGATCCAATTCCCTTGTGCAAGAGCCCCTCACCAGCGTCAGGGAACCTCCCTTGAGGGGACATATTAGTAAAACTATTCATAGACTCTCTAAATAAAAGCTTTTTGTGCTTCTCATGGCCACATTTTATATTTCAATAACTGGGAAGCGCAAAACTCGTAAGGGTCATAAAGTGCATAGGGAATGGGAGGTAACTAGGATCGACCCAATGAAGAGGAAATATAAATCCAGTTCCATGGATCACGAGCCCTCAACGTTATCAAGGTACCTCCCTGGTGGGTCTTGTGAGGTCAATATATTATTGATTTCGTGTCCTTGATGACAGCTGAGACATAACACCTTCCTCTCTACCATCACTCATCTTACCTCAGTAATTATTATATTATGTTCGTTATAAAGTTTATCATTAATAAAAGCAGACAAACATTACCCTTGATGTTGACCTCCAGCAGCTGGACCCGGCGGCGGCGGCGGCGGCGGCGGCGGCAGCACAACTTTTTAGTTCGTTCCTTCACTAAATTTCATTTGTCATCATTTTGAGTTTGTGCGTAACATTTCATTATTTAACATTTATTACAAGAAGAAATGAAATAGATGTGTGTTGTAATACATTACAAAGATAATTAAGACAAAATGTCTACTGAAAATCTTAAGTTTTCTTTTAAAGAATTGTTGAAAAAATGAACATGTAACCGACGTAAATATGACAGTGCTAGCTATTATTTATATAAATGCTTTATTTATCCGATTTTTTCATAAATCAATTATTTATATATATATATATATATATATATATTATATATATATATATATATATATATATATATATATATATATATATATATATATATATATATTATATATATATATATATATATATATATATATATATATATATTTTTTTTTTTTTTTTTTTTTCAACAAGTCGGCCGTCTCCCACCGAGGCAGGGTGACCAAAAAAGAAAGAAAATCCCCAAAAAGAAAATACTTTCATCATCATTCAACACTTTCACCACACTCACACATTATCACTGCTTTTGCAGAGGTGCTCAGAATACAACAGTTTAGAAGCATACACACATAAAGATACACAACATATCCCTCCAAACTGCCAATATCCCAAACCCCTCCTTTAAAGTGCAGGCATTGTACTTCCCATTTCCAGGACTCAAGTCCGACTATATGAAAATAACCGGTTTCCCTGAATCCCTTCACTAAATATTACCCTGCTCACACTCCAACAGATCGTCAGGTCCCAAGTATCATTTGTCTCCATTCACTCCTATCTAACACGCTCATGCACGCTTGCTGGAAGTCCAAGCCCCTTGCCCACAAAACCTCCTTTACCCCCTCTTTCCAACCCTTTCGAGGACGACCCCTACCCCTCTTTCCTCATCAATTCTATGATTAACCTCATCCTTCATAAATCCATCCGCCGACACGTCAACTCCCAAGTATCTGAAAACATTCACTTCTTCCATACTCCTCCTCCCCAATTTGATATCCAATTTTTCTTTATCTAAATCATTTGATACCCTCATCACCTTACTCTTTTCTATGTTCACTTTCAACTTTCTATATATATATATATATATATATATATTATTATATATATATATTATATATTATATATATATATATATATATATATATAAAAGCATTAGTCAGAGGGCAGAAGAGGGGTTGTTGAGGTGGTTTGGTCATTTAGAGAGAATGGATCAAAGTAGAATGACATGGCCCGGTGGCCTGGTGGCTAAAGCTCCCGCTTCACACACAGAGGGCCCGGGTTCGATTCCCGGCGGGTGGAAACATTTCGACACGTTTCCTTACACCTGTTGTCCTGTTCACCTAGCAGCAAATAGGTACCTGGGTGTTAGTCGACTGGTGTGGGTCGCATCCTGGGGGACAAGATTAAGGACCCCAATGGAAATAAGTTAGACAGTCCTCGATGACGCACTGACTTTCTTGGGTTATCCTGGGTGGCTAATCCTCCGGGGTTAAAAATCCGAACGAAATCTTATCTTATCTTATCTTATCTTAGGGGAAGGAAAGAGGGGTAGGGGTCATCCTCGAAAGGGTTGGAAAGAGGGGGTAAAGGAGGTTTTGTGGGCGAGGGGCTTGGACTTCCAGCAAGCGTGCATGAGCGTGTTAGATAGGAGTGAATGGAGACGAATGATACTTGGGACCTGACGATCTGTTGGAGTGTGAGCAGGGTAATAGTTAGTGAAGGGATTCAGGGAAACCAGTTATTTTCATATAGTCGGACTTGAGTCCTGGAAATGGGAAGTACAATGCCTGCACTTTAAAGGAGGGGTTTGGGATATTGGCAGTTTGGAGGGATATGTTGTGTATCTTTATACGTATATGCTTCTAAACTGTTGTATTCTGAGCACCTCTGCAAAAGCAGTGATAATGTGTGAGTGTGGTGAAAGTGTTGAATGATGATGAAAGTATTTTCTTTTTGGGGATTTTCTTTCTTTTTTTGGGTCACCCTGCCTCGGTGGGAGACGGCCAACTTGTTGAAAAAAAAAAAATATATATATATATATATATATATATATATATATATATATATATATATATATATATATATATGTTGTATTATTATAATAAATTATTATAAAAAGCGCTAAACCCAGAGGGTCATACAGCGCATTTGGTTGTATTAATGTTGGTAGAATTACCGATAATATGTTAAGTGTTATTTTACTTAACATATCTATTTTACGCAACCATTAAGCTAATTTTTTTATTTCATTAGTAATTTTATATAGAAATTAATTAAATTTGTAATTACCATTATTTTATTCTTAAATAATACATTACAATTATATATTGCTGGATGAGAGGTGAACTCACAAGGTTTCGGGCATTTTGAAAAAAAAAATTATATTCATGAGGAAGCCTAATCATTATTATAATCAACAAGAAGCGCTAAACCTACAAGGGTCATACAGCACAGAGGAAGCGCTAAACCCGTAGAGTCTTACAGCGATTGGATGGAATGGGAGGTACTGACATTTGATCCAAGAAAAGTAGGTCAGGTCCACTTCCTTGGATCAAGACCCCCTTGATCAGAAAAATACAGTATCCACCAAAAAAAAAACACTAAACATGATGGGTTATACTGCACCTATTATTATTATTATTATTATTATCATTATTAAGAAACAATTCACTTACGGTTGATACACTGCCTGGAGAATGGTAAACAATCAGTTTTGATACAAGGAAGGAGAGTTTAGCTCGGAATAGAATCGAAGAAGACGACGAGAGCTGTCGTGAGATGGGAAGGAAGAAGGATAAGGAAGGATGGAAATACTGGAAAAGGATGGGAAGGAGGGAAAGAGCAGGTATCAAGGCAAGTGGCCCAACCACTTTGGGACATGTGGTACCGAAGTACTGGCAGCGTAGGCCAGGTTGTTGGGTCAGCCGTCTGGGTGTTCATAGTTTAGCTCCAGTTTTTTAGATCAAGAAACCTAGACAATTGTAATAAAATTTTTAACTGTTAAATCTACAGCCTTATAATACTGTGCTTTTAAATAATCAAGCTGTAGTGTAACTCTACCCAAAATGCCAAGCACATACGTATATGATTTTTCTGGGTGGAGGGGATGGGGCTACCCTGCTCTGCTGAGAGACAGTCATTTTGGTAATAAATACATCTGACCCAACATTGTATTATTACTATTACTATACTTACAAAAAGCACTAAACCCACAATTATAATTACAAGTGGTATATTCACAGAGAAGAGTTGAAGCCATAGGGGCTGTACAGCACCTGGGGAAGGTGAGGTAATCATGATCCATTACTATTTTAGATTTATTATTTTGCTTTTTAACTACAGTCTGGCCAGTCAACAGTGTTCATATCTGAAGTGACAAGCAAGAAGGATAATTCCAAGTCAGGATAAGATGTCTGTTGTGAGTGACACTGTACTGTGGTTCAGTATAAGAACTCTCTTATGAGAGATATTACTCATAATGTCAAGAAAAATGTAAGGTCCTCTGCATAACCTCTGTTTCACATGTATTGGAAGAAAAATTATGCAAAAATATGACAGAATACATTTAGGATAACATGCCATCAATAAAATTTTACTACCAGTATTATTACCCTATTTTATTTGTCAAGATATTAAATATGTACATCAAATCAGCATATTTAAATTTTAAATTTTCACAAGAAGCCACCCTACATCATATGATTTAATAACAAGAGCAATTTTAAATTCTCACAAAAGGTAAATCTCAGTTTTTGACTGGATGATTCTATGACTTCAAAGAGAACTTTAAAAAATTGAATACAGCTATTTTACACTAATATTAACAAATATTCATAAAAATAATGAAGGCTCTCCTAGTTTGTTTTTAGTAGCTCCTTCTGTTTGTGTATCATCATTGTTTCTGCTTCCTGCAAGTAGGTGTCCGCAATCTCCCGAATCTGTGGCCATGGAGAGAGATACATATCAGTCATTCAAAATTTTAAAATAGAAAGACAGCCATCTCCCACTAAGGCAGGGAGACCCACAAAAGAAGAATTCTTTCACCATCATTCACTCCATCACTGTCTTACCAGAGGGGTGCTGATACTGCAGTTCAAAATTACAAATATCCCCACACCGTTATTATATTCTTTATCCCTCCTCATCTTCATTCTGCTCCTACTTTATTTTATTTTATTTTAATCAGGGGCAAGCACTAAACCCATATGGTGACTGAGAAATAAGAGGCATTCAGGTGTGAAGGGAGAGGATAAGTCAAGTTCCTTGAGTCAAGAGTCCCTCACCAGCATCAAGGGTCATTCTGCTCTTCCTGCTTGTTCTCCTGCACCTCATTCATCCTGTCCTTGTTGCCCTGCTCATCCTTGCTCTCTTATTCTACAAGTGCATTACCCTGGACAAACAGCTAGGCAAGTTTTAACTATGGCACAGAATACAACAATAATTTACCATGATGAGACTGTTGACAAGAACACAAAGTTACCTTCAGTTGAGCATCATGAACGAGATCTTCAGATGCCTGGTCTTCCTTTCTCTTGACCTTACGGACATATTGGTTCTGTGAGTCTCTGAGATGGTCTTTACAGCGGTTAAACAGAGTTTTGGCATTTTTGGCTAAATTTTCTCGGTGCTCTTTTGTAATTCTGAGAATACAAAAATGTAATGAAAATTTCTAAGTTTAATAATCAATCATTATGTAACAGGTGTCACTGCAATACAAGTAAAGCTATTTCTTCAACTCGAATATAATTACTCACATTAGATTTACCAACAAAGCTGGTGGAACTACATTCCTTGACAAAATCTATAACTAAAGAAAAATGTTTTAGTCCTTTAAATTAAATATTTACAATAACAAATCTTAACCTTGCTATATCATCTTAGTGTCACCTATCAATTACCTCACAAAGTTTGCCACAAAGCAGAATAAGTGGAAGACAGTTTCTCTTTACAGCAAAGTGTGAACTTTCAAACAGAGGCCTTATTCTTGATATGATTCATATAAAAATAAGTAAAATATAAAATTACTTTTTGATTACATACTTAACATTTGTGTATTAACTAAAAGATACACAGAAATAGTGAGTATGGTATGGTATATCTTTTAAAAAGTGGCACTGGCTGTCCTCTTGATAACAGTAAATAATTGACTAATTTCAGGTAACTTCTGGACACACATACTGTGGGCCTTTGAAAATGATACTCTCAGGGTTAAGGCCTGCAGGTACTGTACTATATTCTGGCAGGATGACACTACCAGTGGTATTCTCCCATTCCACTGTGTCAACAACACATAAAGATAACAGTAACATATGATACTGTATGCGATGTAAAATTTACAGTACAGTTCACTACCATGTATACATTATATACAGTACATAAATAATTAAAATATAACAATAAAAGTAAATATATCATGATATTACAGTACTATGTAGGTAGTTTATATAGGAAACGTTTGACATTATGCCCTACCCACTATGTCGGCAATTTTCAAAGGTTCGACTTACGTCCATTTTGACTTACAACCGGTTGGTCGGAACCAAGCTTGGTCGTAAGCCGGATGGTACCTGAATATATATATATATATTATAGGTAGTAGGCTGGTAGACAGATACCACCCAGGGAGGTACTACCGTCCTGCCAAGTGAATGTAAAACGGAAGCCTGTAATTGTTTTACATAATGGTAGGATTGCTGGTGTCCATTTTTGTCTCATGAACATGCAAGGTTTCAGGTATGTGTTGCTACTTCTACTTACACTTAGGTCACACTACACATACATGTACAAGCATATATATATGTACATACAAACCCCACTGGGTTTTCTTCTATTTTCTTTCTAGTTCTTGTTCTTGTATATTTTCTCTTATCTCCATGGGGAAGTGGAACAGAATTTTCCTCCGTAAGCCATGTGTGTCGTAAGAGGCGACTAAAACGCCGGGAGCAAGGGGCTAGTAACCCCTTCTCTTGTATATATTACTAAATGTAAAAGGAGAAACTTTCGTTTTTCCTTTTGGGCCACCCCGCCTCGGTGAGATACGGCCGGTGTGTTGAAAGAAAGAAAGATATATATATATATATATATATATACTTTCTTTCTTTCAACACACCGGCCATATCCCACCAAGGCAGGGTGGCCCAAAAAGAAAAACGAAAGTTTCTCTTTTAAATTTAGTAATTTATACGGGAGAAGGGGTTACTAGCCCATTGCTCCCGGCATTTTAGTCGCCTCTTACAACACGCATGGCTTACGGAGGAAGAATTCTGTTCCACTTCCCCATGGAGAATATATATATACATACATATATATATATATACTGATACTCAAGTATATATACGTACTCTCAGACATATTGTGAATATGTGTAGCTAATAATACTAGAATTGGGCTGTTTGAGTCATGTGTTTTATGCCTAAATGAGCACTGGCTATGAAGAAACAAAAGTTAAAAATAAAAAAGATAAAAAATATAGAAATAATACAGTATTATAATTGTGTAAACCAGAATAAAATTTTGCATTTAAATTTTTTGAAGCAATTTACCATGAACAAAACGTCTAAAAATCAGTTAATATCTTACAAAATTGGGAATATTCAGAGATATCCCCCATTAAAACTGCCCAATTGGAAAAGGTTCAATGCCCTTTGTATTATGCCTCCATATTTAAAAAAGACTTACTTGGGAAGGGCTACGTATATTGTTGTTCCCTCTTGTTGTGGGTTTAGGTTCATCCCAGATTCTCGCAGTGCAGTCATCATTCCCACCAAAGCTTGGGGAAAGGCTGATGCATTGATGACTAATGTGTGTGAAGATTTGCGAGAAATTTGTGCGACCTCATTCAGAGGATATTCATCCCCTTCCAGCTTCACAAGAAGATTTTCTATGCTCCCTAATAAAAGAAAATAACAAACATAGTGAGGCTCAGGTTAGGGTGTGTAGAAGAGAGGGAGACTACTTCCCGGTAAAAGTAGGTCTTAGACAGGGATGTGTAATGTCACCATGGTTGTTTAATATATTTATAGATGGGGTTGTAAAGGAAGTAAATGCTAGGGTGTTCGGGAGAGGGGTGGGATTAAATTTTGGGGAATCAAATTGAAAATGGGAATTGACACAGTTACTTTTTGCTGATGATACTGTGCTTATGGGAGATTCTAAAGAAAAATTGCAAAGGTTAGTGGATGAGTTTGGGAATGTGTGTAAAGGTAGAAAGTTGAAAGTGAACATAGAAAAGAGTAAGGTGATGAGGGTATCAAATGATTTAGATAAAGAAAAATTGGATATCAAATTGGGGAGGAGGAGTATGGAAGAAGTGAATGTTTTCAGATACTTGGGAGTTGACGTGTCGGCGGATGGATTTATGAAGGATGAGGTTAATCATAGAATTGATGAGGGAAAAAAGGTGAGTGGTGCGTTGAGGTATATGTGGAGTCAAAAAAAACGTTATCTATGGAGGCAAAGAAGGGAATGTATGAAAGTATAGTAGTACCAACACTCTTATATGGGTGTGAAGCTTGGGTGGTAAATGCAGCAGCGAGGAGACGGTTGGAGGCAGTGGAGATGTCTTGTTTAAGGGCAATGTGTGGTGTAAATATTATGCAGAAAATTCGGAGTGTGGAAATTAGGAAAAGGTGTGGAGTTAATAAAAGTATTAGTCAGAGAGCAGAAGAGGGGTTGTTGAGGTGGTTTGGTCATTTAGAGAGAATGGATCAAAGTAGAATGACATGGAAAGCATATAAATCTATAGGGGAAGGAAGGCGGGGTAGGGTTCGTCCTCGAAAGGGTTGGAGAGAGGGGGTAAAGGAGGTTTTGTGGGCAAGGGGCTTGGACTTCCAGCAAGCGTGCATGAGCGTGTTAGATAGGAGTGAATGGAGACGAATGGTACTTGGGACCTGACGATCTGTTGGAGTGTGAGCAGGGTAATATTTAGTGAAGGGATTCAGGGAAACCGGTTATTTTCATATAGTCGGACTTGAGTCCTGGAAATGGGAAGTACAATGCCTGCACTTTAAAGGAGGGGTTTGGGATATTGGCAGTTTGGAGGGATATGTTGTGTATCTTTATGTGTATGCTTCTAAACTGTTGTATTCTGAGCACCTCTGCAAAAACAGTGATAATGTGTGAGTGTGGTGAAAGTGTTGAATGATGATGAAAGTATTTTCTTTTTGGGGATTTTCTTTCTTTTTTGGGTCACCCTGCCTCGGTGGGAGACGGCCGACTTGTTGAAAAAAAAAAAAAAAAATTGAACAATGCAGTCTTTAGCAACTATGTTTGCCTTTTTCTAAAATTACAGCTTTTCTCTGTATTGAGACACCTCTCATTTTCTCTCATCAACTTGCTAACTTGCAATGTCTTTTCACATCTATTTAGTACCTCTTCTACTCATTCAGTGTGCTCAGCATGGGTACACTCAGCAAAGGTGCACTTATCACAGGTATGCTCACCACATATTCATTTCATGCAAGTGCATTCAGTACAGCTGTGACTTTCACTATACTACCAGAAAGAACATTCAATTTTTCCTCCTGTGCAAAACCCACTACTTTAACTGTTTTATCCCAGCTTCTTAATTTTTACTTATTTACCCATGTAAGGCAATGTGTGGGTCACACAACCTAATACAATGGTCCCTCGTTTTTCGTAATTAATCCATTCCTGGAAGTGTGACTATTATCAAAATTTACGATTTTCGAATCAATTTTCCCCATAAGAAATAATGTAAATACAATTAATCCGTTCCTGACACCCAGAAGTATTAAAACAAAAAAATTTTTACATGAAATATAGATGTAGTACATAAACAATACAATGGGACATGATGAATGAAACATTAACAGCATAACACTTACCTTTACTGGCAATTCTTCTTAGTGTATGGAAGACTGGAGGAGGAGAAAGATTGGATTAGTTACTGTTTGGAAGGGGAATCCCCTTCCATCAACACCTCATGTACCAAGTGCTTTTCTGGGGTTACTTCTCTTCTCTGTTTCTTAATGCCACTAGGACCAGCTTGAGAGTCACTGGAGTCCTGTCTCGCAAAAAAACTGTCCAGAGAGCTCTGTTCCTGGCGTCTCTTTAAAACTTCCCTAAAATGGGCCAAGATTTTGTCACTGTACATGTTGCCAACATGGCTTGCAACAGCCTTGTTAGGGTGATGTTTCTCCATAAATCTTTCCATCTTACCCCACATTTCAAAAATCTCCTTAATTTCTGAAGAAGGCAACTTCTTCCATCTTGCTTCCTCCTCCTCTGCAGCAAGATTCTGAGCTGCGATCTGTTCCTGTTCCTGCTGAAGCTCTTGCAGCTCCTCAGTGGTGAGCTCTTCATTATGGTCTTCCACCAATTCTTCCACATCCTCCAAACTCATATCCAACCCCATTCAAATTCAAATTCAAAGTTTATTCTCTATAAGGATGACTGACATAGGCTCATCAGGGTCAGCCCCAAACCCTTCAAAATCCCTCTTGTGAACACAATCTGGCCACAATTTTCTCCAAGCAGAGTTCAAAGTCCTGGTAGTCACTCCCTCCCAAGCCTTACCTATAAGGCTTATGCAATGGAAGATACTGAAGTGTTCTTTCCAAAAATCTCTTAGGGTCAAGTGAGTGTCTGAGGTCACATTAAAGCAGCTTTGAAACATTGCTTTGGTGTAGAGTTTTCTAAAGTTTGAAATGACCTGCTGGTCCATGGGCTGGAGGAGAGGAGTGGTATTCGGGGGGCAAGAATTTTACTGTGATGAACCCAAACTCCTGCAGAATTAGGTCATCCAAGTTTGGAGGATGAGCAGGTTCATTGTCCATTACTAGGAGGCACTTGAGATCCAATTTCTTTTCCAGGAGGTAATTCTTCACACTAGGGCCAAACACTTCATTGAACCACTCGACGAAAATTTCCCTCGTGACCCATGCCTTACTATTAGATTTTCAAAGCACACATAATTTACTCTTCATAACATTGTTTTTCCTGAACACTCTGGGATTTTCAGAATGGTACACTAGTAACGGCTTCACTCTGAAATCCCCAATAGCATTAGCACAGAACATGAGCGTCAGCCTGTCTTTCATAGGCTTGTGTCCTGGCAGTCCCTTTTCCTCCTGAGTAATGTAGGTCCTCTTTGGCATTTTCTTCCAAAAGAGGCCTGTTTTGTCACAATTGAATACTTGTTCAGGTTTCAGTCCTTCAGCCTCTATGTACTCCTTGAATTCCTACACATATTTTTCAGCCGCTTTTTGGTCCGAACTGGCAGCCTCACCATGCCGTATCACACTGTGTATGCCAGTATGCTTCTTAAATCTCTCAAACCAGCCTTTGCTGGCCTTAAATTCACTTACATCATCACTAGTTGCAGGCAATTTCTTTACCAAATCGTCATGCAACTGCCTAGCCTTTTCACAAATAATTGACGTCATAAGACTATCTTCTGCTAATTGTTTCTCGTTTATCCACACCAATAATAACTTCTCAACATCTTCGAGTACTGGTGATCTCATTTTTGTCAGCGTATTTACCCCCTTTGCAACAACAACTTCCTTGATTTCCTTTTTCTTGGCCACGATGGAAGCTATGGTTGTATGGAGTTTGTTATACATCCTGGCCAGTTCGGCCACATGTACACCACTTTCATATTGTTCAATAATGTTTTTCTTAAATTCAATCGTATTTCTCACCTTCTTTACCAAAGGCTTGGCACTAGGAGCTTTCTTTGGAGCCATGGTAGCTTATTTAGTAGTTGCAAGCACTAAAATGAATGGAATATTATGAAATATTTCGTATGAGCAAGTGAGGGGACTGTCGCTCACTGGTAAACAATGGCACACTGGCTGGGAACGGCTCAGAGCCGTGAGTACGAGCCCCAGACGAACGACTATTAGCGAGTCAAACTACGATTAGCGAACCCATGTTTTGACGAAAATAACGTTACAATTTTCGAAAATTACGACTATCGAGCCTTACGATTATCGAGGGACCACTGTACTGTATAACATTAATGTCATTCTGCTCATTTTTCCTCAAACCCTTTCATTCTGTGTTTCTAAACTTTTATCCCGATTAACCTTACATTTTCGTCATTGTTTAGAACAGTCCGAGGATAAAACTGCTGCTCATTACTCAGTACAATAAAAATAAAACAATAATGCTCTAACTAAAAATTATTAAACCTCACTTTCCTATGTACTATTTTCTCTGTGCCAAAATTAAGTAAGTGTATGAATGCTCTTTTGCTACAAGTATGTACATGTACGTATTATGTATTCAGTGTCAGCAACAAACCCAGCTGCTGACTCTATCATCCCTTGGTAATTATAGTCCTTTCATAGAGTCCCATGAATTCTTATGTATTACCTCTACACTTATCTTCACTTATTAAATATTTTTTTGCCAAAATATTATTTATTTTCACCAGAAGATGTAAAATAATGTTTGTCTGACTGGTTCCAGTGTGCTCATAAGAATTTAAACTAATTTAACATATTTAATTATATACTGTACTGTGCATTAACCACTTTACTTCCACTACTGTAACATAAAATACATAATTCTTGTTCATGTTTCAGCTTGCCAAAGCTTCTAAATAGATTATTTTGACCCATTTGAATTTAGTGTAACATTCTGAATATAATAAAAATTATAAACTTGACAAATGAAAATGGGCAATACAGTGATAGAATATACAGTACCACCATTATGTAAATGAGACACAGTGTGCAGATTATGGCATTTTAACAATGAAGATGCTGTATAGCCCTTGTGGCTTAGCGCTTCTTTTTGATTATAATAATAATAACGAAGTTGGTTTGTCCACTAGGAAATTGTTGAATTCATACAGAAAATAACACAACATGGATATACATGCCAGCTGTGGAGAGGTTCTGAGGTGAATAAATGTAATCACACATGAGGCAGTTGAGTAGGTGAAGTTAGGTGATCACAGTGACATGTTTAAGATGAATAAGCCTCTCTAAGATTTCAGAGTTTATTTTAAGATAGTACTGATAATAGTTATTACTACTAATTCTAAACATAATTTGCTGCAATGTAATCACTCAAATACTGTACCATTCTAACAATAACATTCATAAAAAGTAAATTATGTTAAACACACATGAATATGCACACAAACATACATACACGAATACATATATGCACATACATACACACATACATACATACATGCATGCATGCAGGCATGATGCCATCAGTATAAAGTAACAAGAACAGTTGCAGAAAAACAATATAAAAAATTTTACTTCACAGAGTGGCAGATCAATGGAATGGTTGCAAAGAGGAGATAATAAAGGCTACAAGCACTGGAAATTTTGCAACTTTACAATAGACTAAATACTGAGGAAAATATTCCACAAGCTTAGCTCTGCTCCTGTGGCCACAAACAGGTAACCTTAAATAGGTAATTACCTGCAGAGGTTCTGAGTGAGAGGTTTTTGATATACTCTTGCTTAAGATTCTCAACTATGTCTGAAAACTCCTCCTTCATCTTTGTAACATTCACCAACTCAGACAATTCTGAATCTGACAGGTGCACTTTGGCCTTTTTATCTGAAAGAGCAAATAAATAAATTATAAGCATAATATTTAACTATTTTTTGGCTATCTAACTACATAACAGAGATTTTTCTTTTTCAACGAACTGGCCATATCCCACCGAGGTAGGGTGAACCCCCCAAAAAAAGAAACACTTTCACCATCATTCACACTATCATTGTCTTTGCAGAGGCACACAGATACAACAGCGTAGATGTCAGACTTGATCATGGAACAGGAGGATGATAAAAACATCTAAAAATATTAATGTCAAACTGCCTAACTTTTAGATAATACAATAAATCAAATGTAGTCAAAGCAAAGAAAAATGTTAAGAGGAACATGAAAATTTTTAAAATGAGAGTAATCATGGCAATGATAATGCTCTTCAAAACACTTGTACTTCCTTGCTTGGAGTACTCTTCTAACCTTATATATTTCAAAGTAAGTGAGATGTCCATGCTATAAAATACAGAGATCATTTACTGTTTGCATGGATACTATAAAACATTAATATTACACTACTGGACTCACCTTTATACTCAGAAGTTGCTCTAAAGTAGAGGAAAGAATATTTTTATAACAGATGAGTAATTGAGACTATTTGAGACAATTGAGACTATTGTGTATTCAGAGTTCAATACATCACAATGTTTAATACAATAAAAATATACTATTTTGTAGAATGTATTATTTTTCAAAGGAAGAATGAATGCCTTCTTTGCCAATGTAATATGTTAAACAGTGAACACATCATGGTTTTAATTGGTCCAAATGGTTTCAGTTATTCTATCAGAGATACAGCAGGAAACGTTGAGCTAACCTGATGAAAAGCAGTGATGTCATCAACATATTTAGGGAACTGAATCTCTATCCTACAGCGGATGTAAGAAACACTGTCAATTCAAAGGTAAATTTTTTCAAGAAGAAATTAGAAAAGGTTTAGCAGAGTGCTTGATCACACCAGGGATGGCTATGCAAGTCTGTGGTCTGCAGATAGCAATAATTTGAGCTATCAGGTGGTGAGCAGGGAAGTTTGGCATTAAGTTGGGATGCAGAAGTAGAATAACTCCAGAAAATGATCACAGGTATGGTAAATTCCATGAATAACTTCAGGCATCTTGGAAAGGCAAAAATTATTTATTTAATGTCATGGTTTCAAGCAAGAAAGAATATTTTGTTAACACTGACCTTTTCCATGCTTATCCTTGCTCTTGGCATAGTTTCTTAGGTAGAACTGAGAGACAGGGTGAGGTCTAAGGAGCCACGATGGAGGCGAAAAAATATTTTGATTTTTCACAAGCGCTGACCTAGGACAGTGTGAGACTGATGACATCCAACGAATATGTAACACAGAAGACACGGCAAGTCTCATTCTTCTTACAGCAACTGGTCCTAGCACAGCCATAATGAGTCCTGATCTGTAGGAATTATCAATAAGTTAACAAGATTTTTTTTATTATTTATGTAAAGCATTAAGTACACATTGCTTATTCAGCGAAAGGTACATTGAAGATTTGTTACTCTGCTCAAGTTAGTAAGTTTATTTAGGTACAGGTACATAATTATAATTATCATAACTAGTAACATATGTGTAAATTACCCAGGATAACCCAGAAAAAGTCAGACAAAATTACTTACATATTTCCATGGCTACCTAGTTATATAGTGAACAAGTGACAGTAATGTGACTTTTAAACACTATCTTACATTCTCAATTATTTCAGTATCAAAAATCATGTCAGTGAAGTATATGGTGCCTTCTCCTGGTGTATTAACTGTTCAGTTTATTTTGGGTCGACGAGGTTAGCTTGTTACCTCAAGGTTAAGTATTAAACTATTTAAATATACAAGAAAGAAGGCAATGTATGTGTGTGTTTGATAAATTATTACACACAAATGTGAAAAAATCCTGTATATATAGCTTTCAATGAAGGATAAGATAATTTTGAAAAGATATTCTAACAAATGTGTTTCCCTGGTGCTACCAGGACACCAGACTTTATTATTATTATTATATTCATGGGGGAATGATAAACCTGTAGGGATATAGAGTGCATAGGGTATGAGAAGCATTCATGCTCGATCCAAGGGGAGCACAGGCTCCATTAAAAAAAAATATATAATCATAAGCCTATATCGCCTAGTGTCATTTTGTACTGGAGTGAAGAAGTTACTGTCTTGTAGATGAATGGTTCAGAGAACCGACATGTTGATAAATTAGACACATGTGCAACTCTTGGGTATCTTTATTGAGGAAACGTTTCGCCACACAGTGGCTTCATCAGTCCATACAAAGGAGAATCTTGAAGAATAGGAGGAGAATGAGGTAATCAGTCCCTCCTTCTCAGCACGTATGCCGTATTCTATTCAAGATTGATGGACTGACCACATTGACTCAAGGTTGAGGGACTGATTACCTCATTCTCCTCCTATTCTTCAAGATTCTCCTTTGTATGGACTGATGAAGCCACTGTGTGGCGAAACGTTTCCTCAATAAAGATACCCAAGAGTTGCACATGTGTCTAATTTATCAAGTTACTGTCTGGTGAAACATTTCCTCAATAAAGATTCCCAAATATTACACAACTGTCGCATGCTTCAACAAGTGACAGTATTTCTTCAGGATTCATTATGTAAGCAAGTTTACTTAGGTACAGGTACACTTGAAGTTACATAAATTATCATACACAGTAACATATATCCCAAAAAAGTCAGTGACTTATTTCCATTAGGGTCCAAGGACCCAAATTTACATATATATTACTGTGTATGATAATTTGTGTAACTACTGAAGTGTACCTGTACTAAATAAACTTATTTATCCCGTGGTATACATATGTTGGATTGTACAATATAAATTGATGTCTGAGTTTCGCCAAGTAGTTGTTGCCTAATATTGTGTCAACTATTTTTTCTATTACACAAAATTTGTACAAATATTTTTTTCTTCATGATACGTGCATTTTACACAGATATTTCTGCTACTTTTACTGTTGCTGTTGTTGTTGTTAGTTAGATATTAAAGGCCACTAAAATGTGAGCTGTATTATTATTTTTTTTTGAGTTATAGGGCCATTGGTGTCTTACACCGTATCATACGTTGCCTCCCAGTATTATTATTCTTGTTGGGTTATAGGGCCACTGGTGCCTTACACCGTATCAAACCCTGCATCCCAGTATTATTATTCTTGTTAGGGTTATAGGGCCACTGGTGCCTTACACCGTATCAAACCCTGCATCCCAGTATTATTATTCTTGTTAGGGTTATAGGGCCACTGGTGCCTTACACCGTATCAAACCCTGCCTCCCGGTATTATTATTCTTGTTAGGGTTATAGGGCCACTGGTGCCTTACACCGTATCAAACCCTGCATCCCAGTATTATTATTCTTGTTGGGTTATAGGGCCATTGGTGCCTTACACCATATCAAACCCTGCCTCCCAGTATTATTATTCTTGTTGGGTTATAGGGCCACTGGTGCCTTACACCGTATCAAACCCTGCCTCCCGGTATTATTGTTCTTGTTAGGGTTATAGGACCACTGGTGCCTTACACCGTATCAAACCCTGCCTCCCGGTATTATTGTTCTTGTTAGGGTTATATAGCCACTGGTGCCTTACACCTTATCAAACCCTGCCTCCCGGTATTATTATTCTTGCTGGGTTATAGGGCCATTAGTGCCTTGCATCATATCAAACCCTGCCTCCCAATATTATTATTCTTGTTGGGGTTTCAGGACCACTGGTGCCTTACACTGTAACAAACCCTGCCTCCCGGTATTATTATTCTTGTTTTGGTTATATGGCCACTGGTGCCTTACACCTTATCAAACCCTGCCTCCCGGTATTATTATTCTTGCTGGGTTATAGGGCCATTAGTGCCTTGCATCATATCAAACCCTGCCTCCCAATATTATTATTCTTGTTGGGGTTTCAGGACCACTGGTGCCTTACACTGTAACAAACCCTGCCTCCCGGTATTATTATTCTTGTTGGGGTTATAGGGCCACTGTTGCCTTACACTATATCGCACTCTATCTCCTGGTGTTATTATTCTTTTTAGGGTTATAAGACCACTAGTGCCTTACACCGTATCGTACCCTGCTTCCCGGTATTTTTATTCTTGTTGGGGTTATAGGGCCACTAGTGCCTTACACCGTATCATACCCTGCTTTCCGGTATTATTCTTGTTGGGGTTATAGGGCCACTAGTGCCTTACACCGTATTATACCCTGCTTCCCAGTATTTTTATTTTTGTTGGGGTTATAGGGCCACTAGTGCCTTGCACCGTATCATACCCTGCTTCCCGGTATTTTTATTCTTGTTGGGGTTATAGGGCCACTAGTGCCTTACACCATATTATACCCTGCTTCCCGGTATTTTTATTCTTGTTGGGGTTATAGGGCCACTAGTGCCTTACACCGTATCATACCCTGCTTCCCGGTATTTTTATTCTTGTTGGGGTTATAGGGCCACTAGTGCCTTGCACCGTATCATACCCTGCTTCCCGGTATTTTTATTCTTGTTGGGGTTATAGGGCCACTAGTGCCTTACACCATATTATACCCTGCTTCCCGGTATTTTTATTCTTGTTGGGGTTATAGGGCCACTAGTGCCTTACACCGTATCATACCCTGCTTCCCGGTATTTTTATTCTTGTTGGGGTTATAGGGCCAGTAGTGCCTTACACCGTATCATACCCTGCTTCCCGGTATTTTTATTCTTGTTGGGGTTATAGGGCCAGTAGTGCCTTACACCGTATCATACCCTGCTTCCCGGTATTTTTATTCTTGTTGGGGTTATAGGGCCACTGGTGCCTTTCACTATATAAAACCTTGCCTCCCAGTATTATCTTTGTTGGGCTATAGGGTTACTAGTACCTTACACCTATTACTTTCTCTAAAAAGCCTGAGACCTGAATGCAGCATCAAAAATCCTTCAGGGAAATCGTATAAATAGTTGTGTCCTCTTTAAAGATGATCTTACATTATTGACCTTGAATGGTTCAGCGTCTGGGGTCAGTACCTGTGTGTCTTCACCTGAAGTAAAATATTCTATGTTTTTTTTTTCTCTTCATATTTCTTTTAACTAGCATTATTACTTCATCTTGTTCACTATATTTGTTTTCTGCCATTTATATACATAGATAAGTTGTAATTCCTGAACTATCATTCTTCTGTTTATTCATAGATAAATACATTTTTTATATTCACTGGGGAAGTGGAGCGCTAAATCTATAGGGGTCATAGGGCGCCTGGGGTTAATGAGAGGCAATCCAGGTTGATCCAAGGGAAGGTCAGGCCCAATTACTTGGATCAAGAGCCACCTTACTGGCGACAAGGTACATTACTTGATGGGTTCTCTCTCTCTCCAAAAAGAATCACACATTGATATTTAAAAGGTTTATTAAACTCGAAATCTGTGTAAATTTTATTATCCTCCACTCTGGTGTCAGCTGAAGTGTCTGTCAGCTTATATATCTATCAGCTGATTGTTTTTCAGCTCATGTCTGACAGCTTATATATATATATATATATATATATATATATATATATATATATATATATATATATATATATATATATATATATATATATATATATATATATATATATATATATATATAATATATATATATATATAGCCATATTAGCTGATATATCTATCAGTTAATATGGCTGTCAGCTGACGTGTCAAGGTAAAGTGTCACTGACAGCTCTAATTAGTTGTACTCTTAAACAAATACTGAAAATTAGCTTATATATAACACTAACAAAGTTGACTTCCGTATATAAACATTTTAAAGACAACATTCTGAAAACATTCTCTAAGTGATAAACATTTTAATGATAACTTTCCAGTATTATAATCTCAAGACTTACTGATAATTTAAGTATTACTGAAGAATATGTGAAAAAATGCTTAAAAATAGTTATCCCTGAAACTTCTTATATATATATATACCATAAACTCAGGTCCAATTCCTCGGATCAAGAGCCACTAACCCTCCCCCGAAAATAGCAATAACATTATGACTTAAATGTAATAGTTAAAGTTTTAAAATTAAAATTTATATTTCCTGAACTTCATGAAAAATTATTCTATAAGTTCTGACTTTTTTTTTCTTTTGCAAAAATTAGATCCTGTGAGGTGCCACAGTGTAGTGCCAGAGTGGTCATCTAGCCAGTGCCACAGTGTAGTGCCAGAGTGGTCATCTAGCCAGTGCCACAGTAGGCGACGAAGTAAACAAAGAGGAAGGCACAGTAAGTGCCAACCAGGAGGAGACGAGAGAGAAAGTTGGCTCTTTCTGCAGCCTTGGCCATCAAACGTCGCATTCCTGACGTTTCTCCGTCACTGGTGCCCTTGTTGCCCTCACCTTCCTCTGCGCTCTCTGTCCTCTGAACATACAGTTAAAATTTAATTGTTATAGTACAGCATAAACAAATTGTGAATTTAAAACTTCCCATGTCGAAGAAGTTCGTTTAAAGCATATCACTTCCCCTGTTTTCTAATAATGTCATTTTTCCACTATAATCTACCTTAGCCATAATTACTATCGCATTTACTTTGCTTTCGTAAGGTGAAGTTCAGGATCTTTCCTTAATTTATGGTATAACTTAACAAATCTTTGAGAACAATTGTGTTATAGAGGTCTGAGCAAAGTTCAGTCATTATGGACAAGGTAGATTATATGGGAAAAATAAACGTGATGTTAAGAGACAGGGTGACTCAGGCGCCTCTTAAACCCTTCCATCACCAGACAAGAATAATTTAATCCCTAAAATAAGGATTAGAGTTAAGTTTGAACATACATATGGTGAGATGAATGCATCTCTCAGTGTGTATATCTTGTGTCCTCTTAAATAATAAGGATTTAACTAAATGTAAAAGTTGATACAAAAGTTGGTGTCTGCCTCTGTGTTGGAATGCAAAAGAAAATAGAATTAATAACTAACTGTTATATTCTCAAATGTTCAAGAAATGTCAAAATATTTTATCCAAAGTAGTATATAACCAGACATTCCTGAAACAATACACTGACGTTGCTTATTGTAAGTAAATAATATCCCTCCTAATTTACCTAAATACAAGGGTACCTTGCTAAATATTGACTGTTGTAACTCATGACAACATATAAACTAGTGTTTGTTTTCGTGATTCATTTCATAAATTTACGAATAGTTCATTGCAAGGGCTGTGCCAGAATTTCGAATGGTCAGGAGAGGGCGAGGGGGGAGGGCTTGACTATCTGGCTAAAAGGGAGAGTGGCTAGGAATATATCTGGAGGGTATTCTGAGGGTCAGCGCCCCTGCTGCCCGGTCCATGACCAGGCCTCAGGGTGGATCAGGGTCAGTACCTGATCAGCTGGGCTGTGGTTCGTACGTCGGGTTAAGTGCGACCAACAGTAACAGCCTGGTTGACCAGGCCCTGATCCACCATGAGGCCTGGCACAGACTGGGCCACAGGGGCGTTGACCCCCGGAAACCTCTCCAGGTATACTCCACATGTTATCTTATTTTGGAAGCACCGGTATTAATAGTATTAAATAGTACTGTTATGTATTATTTTTGGGTGACCGAAGCCTCCCGATACCGACCCAAAGACGCCGTCACTAGTTACTACTGTAACTTTCTTAGATCTAAAACAAAATAATGTGCTCAGTTCCTGGACCCATTATGTACCTCTGAACTCCTTTGACTGCCTCCCACAGGATGAGTATGAGGCTTAGGGTCCAGGCATTTAATAAACATGTGGAACACGCTTGTACCTCATAACGAACTGTTGTTCTGTTCTTGATTCGCCGGTACTCTCCCGGTCCGTTTTTTTTCCAGATGGTGACCCGGCCATGGCTCCCTGTCTTGGGAGTGTCTGAGACCTATGTCTGCCATGGGAGGAGGTACAAGTACCTCCTCAGCTTCGGGACCAACCATCCCCAGGTCTAGCCCCATTCCCCGCCCTCACGGGGCTCGCAGGGAGAAGCTAGGCCTCTGGTCTGCCATCCACCTCACCCCAGTGCAGCTCGTGGGTGGTAGCAAGCTCTGGCTCTGGCACTTTCCCTGCCCTAAGAGGGCTCGTGGGAGTGGTGTCTTTTTTTCATAACGAACTACTGAAACACAATGTTCATTAAAGCTTAAATTACGTTAAGTTAGATGAACTTAAGTTAGGTTAGAGAGAAGATACACTCTATAGAACTAATTCTTATTGGGACAACATTAAGATTTTTTTATAATAACTTGATAAAGCTGTGTACACAGAGCGAAGTGTGATACAGCTTTACATAGCGAAACATAATCTGTTCAAACTGTGCACGGAACGAAACGTAACTTGATAAAGCTGTACACAGAGCGAAATGTTATCTCAATAAAAGCATGTCATGCAACGTGAAACTTGTCCTTAATCTTGTCAGCAGTGCGACATTCTAGCCACCTGAATTAGGTTAGGCTACGGTCGGTTAGCTTAGATTATGTTAGATTATTTTGTGTTACTGTCTACAAAGATGTGGCAGCGAACATGACTATAACTAGTGAGAAAGAACAACTCACCTTCTCCTGACTCTTGGAGCCTCGGACTTGGCAGAGGATGACATGAACCAGAGTACCAAAGATGATGACCAAGGAGATGCCGGTGAAGATGTCCACGGCTCTGATGTAAGGAACTGATGCCAGGGACTCCTTGAACAGGTTGCAGAAGGAGGCCAGAGTGATGAGGGGAATGAGGGTGAGCAGCAGGCGGCCCAGGAACTGAGTAGGAGGGATCAGGAAGGCGAACCAAGACACGATCACCAGGAAGATAGTGGGGATGTACCAGTCTAGGAGGTAGCTGCCGAACACACGCCGAATCTTCATGCTGACTTCTATACAGCTATATTCTCCTGTTGAACAGCGGGTGATGTGTTAGTAAGTCGATCTCTCTCTCTCATTCTCTCTGTCTGTCTGTCTGTCTGTCTGTCTCTCTATCTCTCTCACCTGTAGCAGTGGTACTGTTGCAGAAGCCAGTTTCGTACTTCTCAAAGGAGAACCTGTCCGTGTGAAGTTCTCTACTGAATGCAATAGGAGACTCGTCAGCCATCCTGAACACCAAGTTATCACTCGTGTACCCATCTGTAGAAGTAGTAGTAGTAGTAGTAGTAGTAGTAGTAGTAGTAGTAGTAGTAGTAGTAGAATATACATATTGAGTTTTCTTTATTTTTTTTATTTTAGAGATTTCAGTATTCAATAAACACTAAAGTATTAAAGTATTCTTGACTGGTAGTGTACAATATGCAGATTTAATGACCTTCGTGTAGTGAATGATGGCGTACAGGTGCAGTGTAGCTGTGGAAATTTTTTACAAAATTTCCTAAATGTAGAACATATAAATGAATAATTTAATAATTGCGTATTAAAATGTGATGCTATTTGGACCCTTCGAGAAATTTCGAGTGGGGGGGGAGGCAGAACAGCCGGGGGAGTGACGCCGCGGGCAGAAGACTCCATATTGAATTTAATGTGTGAACACTGGACAGAACTGTGCAATGTAATCAGGAGTTCTCGAAGGTCATATGGGGTTTTTCGGCCTGAATTTGTAATAGAAACCCATGTTAAAGTCCCCTTCTGAAGAATTGGGCCAGGAAATTTGCGGGACCTCAAGAATTACGAGTAGATGGTGGAAGAAGAGGAATACACCATCACTCACAGGAAAGCGCACCATTAGTCCTTGCATTTAGATCTCTAACTGGCCAGTGTAGGGTCTAGGTGTTAGGCAGGTGTTGTGGTATGATTCATCTACAGTAATTAAATAGTAAGCGGTAATACGAATTTCGTTTGTGTACCCAGCAAGCCTAATCATATACAGTCCACATTAGTTTATAATTTACCATTACTGGTATTAATGTTTAACGTTGTAATTATTAATTTAATGTCAGGTCTAGCTTTTTTGTGAGAGTGGTGAAGAAGTGGGCATCGAGGGAATTACAGTTCGGCGACCTACTGTGACTTAAGTCCCAATTATCTCACCCAGATTACTTGCCTGTAATAATTCAGGTAATACCCTGTAAACCTCATGCAGGTAATTTGCTCATATAATAATAATAATAATAATTCATAATAGTAGCCTTAATTATTTTCGTGCAATGTATAGGCTTTAAGCCTAACTTACCGAAAGTAGTGATAATATTTGTAGTAATATAAGTATTATTATGATACACAATTGCTATTACAAGACGTTGTGGATAAAGTCTTGGTCTGGTGGTAACACACTAGTGGCACCACAAACTACACAAGTTACCCTTGAGATTTTGTCTCGTCCATCTGGGCTTTATTTTGGCCACGGTTCAGATATGTGGGGGAAATTCCTCTCGATATTTTCAGAGCCAAACAGCAGCTTTCTTCTTCTTCCCGTGCAAAGCAATATTATCAACCAGTTTATCACACAAAATGTGAAAAAAAAAATCCTGGCTTAATGTAATAACAACCAGTGTTGTGTTTAAATTGTTACACAAACATCTGGTAAGGTAAAAAATGTAAGACTAACAAGAGTGTAAGTTGAGGGTATGTGAGGCAGAGGGCGAGCAGCCAGCCTGATCCCATGCTGATTGTTATATTTATATCGTAGACTAGACTAACTAACATTTCTTATCTTGGCTAAGAAAACCTTTTGGCTCATGTTTCCTTATCTTGCATGTTTACATTTCATTGTTTCTAACTTACACTTAATTTGCCTGCCACACTTATACTTCAGATTTATTAGCTTTCCCTTTCTCATGTACAAAAACAGTGATGAAAGACAGGTATTGTGTTGTGTTTCTGGTAGTCTGAAGTGTTGTCGTGTAGTGTGTTAGTACTCACAGCTAGCGACGTTGATGTGACACACTTGTGTCGTGTAGTGTTAGTACTCACAGCTAGCGACGTTGATGTGACACACTTGTGTCGTGTAGTGTGTTAATACTCACAGCTAGCGACGTTGATGTGACACACTTGTATCGTGTAGTGTGTTAGTACTCACAGCTAGCGACGTTGATGTGGCACACTTGTGTGTCGTGCAGTGTGTTAGTACTCACAGCTAGCGACGTTGATGTGGCACACTTGTGTGTCGTGTAGTGTGTTAGTACTCACAGCTAGCGACGTTGATGTGACACACGTGTGTATCGTGTAGTGTGTTAGTACTCACAGCTAGCGACGTTGATGTGACACACTTGTGTGTCGTGTAGTGTGTTAGTACTCACAGCTAGCAACGTTAATGTGACAGACTTGTGTGTCGTGTAGTGTGTTAGTACTCACAGCTAGCAACGTTGATGTGACACACTTGTGTATCGTGTAGTGTGTTAGTACTCACAGCTAGCGACGTTGATGTGGCACACTTGTATATCGTGCAGTGTGTTAGTACTCAGCTAGCGACGTTGATGTGGCACACTTGTGTATCGTGTAGTGTGTTAGTACTCACAGCTAGCGACGTTGATGTGGCACACTTGTGTATCGTGTAGTGTGTTAGTACTCAGCTAGCGACGTTGATGTGACACACTTGTGTGTCGTGTAGTGTGTTAGTACTCACAGCTAGCGACGTTGATGTGACACACTTGTGTGTCGTGTAGTGTTAGTACTCACAGCTAGCGACGTTGATGTGACACACTTGTGTCGTGTAGTGTGTTAGTACTCACAGCTAGCGACGTTGATGTGGCACACTTGTGTGTCGTGCAGTGTGTTAGTACTCACAGCTAGCGACGTTGATGTGACACACGTGTGTATCGTGTAGTGTGTTAGTACTCACAGCTAGCGACGTTGATGTGACACACTTGTGTGTCGTATAGTGTTAGTACTCACCGCTAGCAACGTTGATGTGACACTTGTGTATCGTGTAGTGTGTTAGTACTCACAGCTAGCAACGTTGATGTGACACACTTGTGTATCGTGCAGTGTGTTAGTACTCACAGCTGGCGACGTTGATGTGGCACACTTGTGTGTCGTGTAGTGTGTTAGTACTCACAGCTAGCGACGTTGATGTGACACACTTGTGTGTCGTGTAGTGTTAGTACTCACAGCTAGCGACGTTGATGTGACACACTTGTGTCGTGTAGTGTGTTAGTACTCACAGCTAGCGACGTTGATGTGGCACACTTGTGTGTCGTGCAGTGTTAGTACTCACAGCTAGCGACGTTGATGTGACACACGTGTGTATCGTGTAGTGTTAGTACTCACAGCTAGCGACGTTGATGTGACACACTTGTGTGTCGTGTAGTGTTAGTACTCACCGCTAGCAACGTTGATGTGACACACTTGTGTATCATGCAGTGTGTTAGTACTCACAGCTGGCGACGTTGATGTGGCACACTTGTGTGTCGTGTAGTGTGTTAGTACTCACAGCTAGCGACGTTGATGTGGCACACTTGTGTGTCGTGAGGGAAACGTTGTAGATCCATGGGACAACTCTGCTTCAGATTCAACCTGAGGGAAAAACATTCTTGTGACTGGTAAGTCTAGTGACTCTACTTGCATAGTGAGTCTAGTGACTCTGCTTCTATAGTGAGTCTAGTGACTCTGCTTCCATAGTGAGTCTAGTGACTCTGCTTGCAGAGCAGCGAGTCTAGTGACTCTGCATAGTGAGACTAGAGACTCTGCTTGCAGTAGTGAGACTAGAGATTCTGCTTGCATTAGTGAGACTAGAGACTCTGCTTGCAGTAGTGAGACTAGAGACTTCAATTTAAACTCAACAATATAGTATCAGGTCTAGATATGGTTCCTGTAAAGCTGTTACCCAAAACTATTTTAAATGTTTTACTGAATTCACTCTTGATGGGTTTAGAGCTTGAACATAATAATAATAATAGCATTAACAATAATAATAATAATAATTATTATTATTAATTTTATTGACTGAATTCAGATGGAACACACAGCGAAGAGGCGGGGGCAGGAGCTGTGAATCGACCTCTGCAACAAGTAGATAAGTACACACACACTGATAGATTACAAATCTCAAACTTGAAGGACCTCGGGGTCAGCATAATACCGAGCATATCACCAGAGGTGCACATCGGTGGCCTGGTGGCTAAAGCTCCCGCTTCACACACGGAGGGCCCGGGTTCGATTCCCGGCGGGTGGAAACATTTCGACACGTTTCTTTACTCCTGTTGTCCTGTTCACCTAGCAGCAAATAGGTACCTGGGTGTTAGTCGACTGGTGTGGGTCGCATCCTGGGGGACAATGGAAATAAGTTAGACAGTCCTCGATGACGCACTGACTTTCTTGGGTTATCCTGGGTGGCTAACCCTCCGGGGTTAAAAATCCGAACGAAATCTTATCTTATCCACAATAAGTTTATTTAAGTATAGATGTACATAAATACAGTTATTATTCACATTGTAAATTAATTAGGATAACCCCCAAAATAGTCAAAGTGACTTATTTCCATCGGGGTCTTTATCAAATATTATTATTTAAAGCGAACATAAAATTTGTTTAATATTTCGCCAAAGAATCGTTCATGACCCTGTACATAGCCACACAATTTAACTTAGTCTGGAAGAACCTTCACTCCATGAGTAAATAATTAAAATAGCAATATAAAGCAGTAGCATTAGTATAAGTAGTAGGCCTAGTCTGGGAGCGAGCCGCGGGGACCAGACCATAACCCTTACAGGTAGCCTAGTCTGCAGGTAGTACTAACTCTAGTTGAAGAAGTAATACCAGTAGTAGCAGTAGTAGTTGTTGTAATATACATTTTTTTCAACAAACCGGCCGTATCCCACCAAGGCAGGGTGGCCCAAAAAGAAAAACGAAAGTTTTTCTTTTTAAATTTAGTAATTTGTACAGGAGAAGGGGTTACTAGCCCCTTGCTCCCAGTATTTTAGTGGCCTCTTACAACACGCATGGCTTACGGAGGAAGAATTCTGTTCCACTTTCCCATGGAGATAAGAGGAAATAAACAAGAACAAGAACTAGAAAGAAAATAGAAGAAAACCCAGAAAGGTGTGTATACATATGCTTGTACATGTATGTGTAGTGTGACCTAAGTGTAAGTAGAAGTAGCAAGACGTACCTGAAATCTTGCATGTTTATGAGACAGAAAAAAAAACACCAGCAGTCCTACCATCATGTAAAACAATTACAGGTTTCCTTTTTACACTCACTTGGCAGGACGATAGTACCTCCCTGGGCGGTTCTGTCTACCAACCTACTACTATAACCAACCTACTACTGTAACCAACCTACTACTATAACCAACCTACTACTATAACCAACCTACTACTATAACCAACCTACTACTATAATATACATATGTACTATTAATGTAATAGTAGTAAAGTAGTAGCAGTGATAGTGGAATAAGAAGTAATAATAGTTGTAGTATACAGAGGTAGTATCAGTGTAATAGTAAGTAGCAGTAGCAGAAGTAACAGAAGCAGCAGTTGTAACATAGAGGTAATATTAATGTAATAGTAATAAAGTATTAACAATGAGACAAACATCATACTCTTCCTTGACTTATACTGGTTAAAGACTTACTATGAATCACTTGTCCCTCGCTGCTGCACATCTCGAGCTAACACAGCTAACATCGTTAGCTTTATTTTACCTCTAAACAGTTGGTTGAATCTTACAGCAAACAAGCACTACACCTCACTTTCCCTTGAATGGATCATAAATCGAAACATAAGCTTTAACTCCTCCTGCTCCTCCTTCACCCCCCCCCCACCCCATAAAAATCTGAGTTGAGTGAAGTGCTTGATATGGTGCAGCCTGTCAGTGGTCATATAAGAGGATTCGAATAGCAATTGTTCGAAAGATTAGGGCTCATACGGCATAAGCGTCGAAGCCCATAAAAAAGGAACACCATAAGCCGTCGAAGTCCTTAAAAACAGAACAACACCATAAGCCGTCGAACCCCTTAAAAACGGAACAACAAACATACAGACTTCCAACCACAGTCAACACAGGAAGAGAGTAGAGGAAGTGACCAGGTCAAAAAAAACTTAGAGTCGGACACAGACCTGGAGCTGTAAATAAGACGGCCATCAGGGAAGAGTCTTATGAAACTCTCAGGGTGGATGGACTTGTGCTGGGTGGTTTTGGCGTTCTTGAAGAAGGCGTCTGGAAGCCACGCCAAGTATGGATCCAAGATGGTCACATACGTCACTCCTGTGTGTAGAAATTGTAGTGGCAGTAGTTCGAGTGGAACTTCTTGCACATTATTAGGGTTATTATGATAAAGAAAGCGCTGAAACCCGTATGGTTTTGCAGAAACTTAAAATGGTCCAGAAGGGTTCGAAATCTAGTTTAGTTTCCATACTCAGTTTATACGTCAGTTTAGTATTACAGTACTGTTAATATGATTTATTATTATTATTATTATTATTATTATTATACATGCTGTTGTTAACAATATTATAATAAATGTTATAAGTACTACGGGCAACATTACCTGCTGGACTACTGAAGGCGAGGCGACTGTCCCTCCAGATCATCCTGAAGGTGATGTCAAAATTGGCCTCCTGCAGGATATATAAATTATACATGTGTTTGTGTGTGTGTGTGTGTGTGTGAGCACACACACACTAAAAGGTTAATAAATATAGAGAACTTTCAATTGAAGTCTAATTATTATTATTATTATTATTATTATTATTATTATTGGATAAGATAACAAATATACTTTTAATTGTCAAGTAATAATATCAATATAATAATTTTTATAGTGAAGATCAAACTGTTAATTAAACTTATGAGATTCTTTATGAAAGAAGATGAATGAAAATCCCTCATAATGAAGTGCACTGTATGACCCGTGTGGGTTTAGCGCTTAGTTATGGTTATAATATTTTATAATGAAAGAAGTAATGAACTTCCTTGGTGAGGGTATCTGAGGTACGTACCATGTTTACATCATCAATATTAAGAACGGACCATGTTTACATCATCAATATTAAGAACGTACCATGTTTACATCATCAATATTAATAACGTACCATGTTTACATCATCAATATTAAGAACGTACCATGTTTACATCATCAATATTAATAACGTACCATGTTTACATCATCAATATTAAGAACGTAACATGTTTACATCATCAATATTAAGAACGTAACATGTTTACATCATCAATATTAAGAATGTAACATGTTTACATCATCAATATTAAGAACGTAACATGTTTACATCATCAATATTAAGAACGTAACATGTTTACATCATCAATATTAAGAACGTAACATGTTTACATCATCAATATTAAGAACGTAACATGTTTACATCATCAATATTAAGAACGTAACATGTTTACATCATCAATATTAAGAACGTAACATGTTTACATCATCAATATTAAGAACGTACCATGTTTACATCATCAATATTAAGAACGTAACATGTTTACATCATCAATATTAAGAACGTAACATGTTTACATCATCAATATTAAGAACGTAACATGTTTACATCATCAATATTAAGAACGTACCATGTTTACATCATCAATATTAAGAACGTAACATGTTTACATCATCAATATTAAGAACGTAACATGTTTACATCATCAATATTAAGAACGTAACATGTTTACATCATCAATATTAAGAACGTAACATGTTTACATCATCAATATTAAGAACGTAACATGTTTACATCATCAATATTAAGAACGTAACATGTTTACATCATCAATATTAAGAACGTAACATGTTTACATCATCAATATTAAGAACGTAACATGTTTACATCATCAATATTAAGAACGTAACATGTTTACATCATCAATATTAAGAACATAACATGTTTACATCATCAATATTAAGAACGTAACATGTTTACATCATCAATATTAAGAACGTAACATGTTTACATCATCAATATTAAGAACGTAACATGTTTACATCATCAATATTAAGAACGTAACATGTTTACATCATCAATATTAAGAACGTAACATGTTTACATCATCAATATTAAGAACGTAACATGTTTACATCATCAATATTAAGAACGTACCATGTTTACATCATCAATATTAAGAACGTACCATGTTTACATCATCAATATTAAGAACGTAACATGTTTACATCATCAATATTAAGAACGTAACATGTTTACATCATCAATATTAAGAACATAACATGTTTACATCATCAATATTAAGAACGTAACATGTTTACATCATCAATATTAAGAACGTAACATGTTTACATCATCAATATTAAGAACGTACCATGTTTACATCATCAATATTAGGTACGTACCATGTTTACATCATTAATATTAGGTACGCACCATGTTTACATCATCAATATTAGGTACGTATGATGTTTACATCATCAATATTAGGTACGTACCATGTTTACATCATCAATATTAGGTACGTACTGTGTTTACATCATCAATATTAGGTACGTACGATGTTTACATCATCAATATTAGGTACGTACCATGTTTACATCATCAATATTAGGTACATACGATGTTTACATCATCAATATTAGGTACGTATCATGTTTACATCATCAATATTAGGTACGTACCATGTTTACATCATCAATATTAGGTACGTACCATGTTTACATCATCAATATTAGGTACGTACCATGTTTACATCATCAATATTAGGTACGTACCATGTTTACATCATCAATATTAGGTACGTACCATGTTTACATCATCAATATTAGGTACGTACCATGTTTACATCATCAATATCAATGTCCCGGAAGTAAGTCTGGATGTGTACCTCAGTAGCACCTGTGAATAAGACACACACACACACACACACACACACACACACACCAGTTAGTTAAGTTAATGCAGTACTTATAAATTAAATGAAGGTAGGTTCAGAAAACAGTCTGTTTCCTGAGACAAAGCTTTAAGATATATGCCCTGACGGCCTTTATTTCATTTTCCCCTTCAAACTACGATTCCCTATATGGTATATACATTATATAATGTGTTATAACATTTATGGATCAGCATGCCTACTCCTGACTCGCCTACGATACTCATAACTGAAGTAGGCCTACTCACCACCACCGGCTACAGAAGGTCTGATGGAAGAATCATAGGCGTCACGGTCACCCAAGATGTCTATCACCTCCTTTGTTGCGACTGATAATGCATCTTCCGCCCACACACTGTCATGTCATGATTAGTCATTACGCACGTAACAACACTATATATCACTAATTTACATTGCAACTATATTTACTATTGCATAGTCAATTTATATATATACATGTATATATATATATATATATATATATATATATATATATATATATAATATATATATATATTATATATATATATATATATAATATATATATATATATATATATATATATATATATATATATATATATATATATATATTGGATCAAAATGTGTAGCGCAAGCTACACGCCAAGGTATTGTCCAGTCCAGTGTGGGTAGATTGGTAAAGCACTGCGTACCTTGTCTTAAGGTTCGTAGGTTCGAGTCTCCTTCAGCCAGAGATCAGTGTTTGTGTATATTTCGCCTGCTCTCGCGAATTCCTTGCCTATATATATATATATATATATATATTATATATATATATATATATATATATATATATATATATATATATATATATATATGTGTGTGTGTGTGTGTGTGTGTGTGTGTGTGTGTGTGTGTGTGTGTATAATTTGTACCATAATTCTATTCCCACTTTTAATATAGTTGTAAAATAAACAAAAGATTGTTGTTGTATAACGTAATTCATGTTCCAGTATAAACCAATTGACTTTTATTATAATAATCAAATATTCATAAATGAAATTCATTTCGCTGTTCCATTTTTGATGGAATTATTGAACAGTTACGTCTTAAGGAGTGGGAACCTTGATGCTGGTGAACGGCTCTTGATCTATGACACTGGAGCTACCCTTCCCCTTCCTCAGATGGAACCTGATGTTATATGACCCCTACGGGTGCAGCGTTACTCCATGAGTGTAATAAGAGTGGGTAATATAGTTACCTAGGTGAGAGTAGCGCCGCCAGCAGCAGTACCGTCATGTGCTCCACCACCTTCATACTGACTCAACCTCAACACAACTCTCTGCAATAATATAACAATATATTATAAAGGTGATATTAAGAGTGATGATGGTGATAACATAGGTGATAATGGTAATAGTGAAGGTTTTAATGGTGATAATAAATGTATTAATTGATGTCTGGACAACTATTTCAAGTGGGAATGGATGGATCTGAGAGGGACTCGCCCTCTCAACTATTATATTCTTTCTGTTACTAGTGAGCTGCGCCTCACCTCATCAGTGTCTCCATACTGTTGCTTCAACTTATTTATTTATTTATTTATTTATTTAAAAATTTGTGCACACATACAGAGGTACAAAAAATACAGAAAAGAGCAGTATGCCAAAGCCACTTATACTATGCATAGCATTACGGGCTGGCTTAAAATTAACTTAAGATGAACTAAGCAATGATGACATCGGTGATAAAACTTTAATGTAAACAGATTACTATAAAGCACAAGTGAGTATTACAAAGACAGGTCATATGGTTGTATGCATTGTTGTACATTCAGTAGAATGGAGTATTCTGTTAGGTAGTGTATTTAAAAAATAATAAAGTTAGATTGGGTTTTAGGTTTAACATTTATGTGATATAATTGTGAGAAACATATAAGATATACAATTTATAAGGTTCAGTTATTCAGAAATTTATTTGGTTTTGGTGAGTAAGTGATCTTTGAGAAGAGACTTGAATTTATAAACAGGTAGTGTTTCTTTTATATTTACAGGTAATGAGTTCCAGATTTTAGGGCCTTTTATGTGCATTGAGTTTTTGCATAGTGTGAGATGGACACGAGGAACATCAAAGAGTGATCTGTGCCTTGTGTTATGGTCATGTGTTCTGTTGAGGTTGGCAAGGAGATGTTTGAGGGAGGGTTAATATCAGAGTTAAGTGTTCTGTGTATGTAATAGGTGCAGTAATAAGTATGAATGTTTTGTATGGTGAATAGGTTTAGTGTATTGAATATTGGTGGAGTGTGCTGCCTATAGTGAGAATTTGTTATCATTCTAACTGCAGCCTTTTGTTGGGTAATTAGTGGTCTGAGATGGTTACTTGTTGTTGAGCCCCATGCACAAATTCCATAGGTGAGATAGGGGTAAATAAGAGTGATATAGGGCCAGGAGGGCTGACTGTGGAGCATAGTACCGTATCTTCGATAGTATGCCTACAGTCTTGGAAATTTTCTTAGAAATTTGTTGTATATGTGTATGAAATTTGAGTCTATTATCAAGGTGGATTCCTAAGAATTTTCCCTCTGTTAGCTTTGTGATAGGTGATCCTTTATCATTATGTTAAGAGGGACATCTGTAGCTCTGTTACCAAACTGAATGAAGTAGGTTTTGTCAATGTTTAGTGTAAGTTTGTTAGTCCTCATCCAGGTAGATATTTTCTGTAATTCTGTATTTACAGTATTGGCTAGCGTGACTGGGCTCGGGTGGGAGAAGACGTATGTAGTGTCATCTGCAAATAGTGTGGGTTTGAGTAATTGCGAAGCATTTGGTAGGTCATTTATGTATAGGAGAAAGAGAAGAGGGCCAAGGACACTTCCCTGTGGGACACCAACTGTAATTGGTTGTGCAGAAGAGTTTGCCCCATTTGCATACACATATTGGCTTCTGTTGCTGAGGTATGACTTGGGGTAGTTGAGGGAGTGCCCTCTTATACCATAGTGTGACAATTTTACGTGGAGCAAGTCATGGTTAACTGTATCAAAGCTTTACGTAAGTCAATGAAGATCCCCATTGGGACTTCTTTTTTCTCTATTGCAGTGTATATATGTTCTAGCATGTGTATAATAGCATCATTAGTATTTTTATTTGGCCTGAATCCAAATTGGCAGGGGTTGAGTATGTTTTGGGAGATAAGGTAGGAGTAGATTCGTTTATGAATTAATTTTTCGAAGATTTTTGAGAGAGGGTGTAAGTTGGATATTGGCCTATAGTTATTCAACTCTGTTTGGTCTCCTCCTTTGTGGATCGGGGTGACCCTTGCTATTTTGAGTACTGTGGGAAGGTGGAGGATTCAATGGATTTGTTAAAGAGTGTTGCAATGATTGGTGATAGCACTTGTGACACTTTTTTGTATATAAAGGGTGGTAAGGTATTTAAATCTCCTGCCTTTTTTTTTAGCGTGTTGATAATAAGGGAGACTTCGTATGGTTAGTCGAGCTAGGAACAGTGTGTTCGGGTAGTTGCCAGTGAGGTAGTCATTTGGTGGGGTATCTGAGCTTGGGATTTTATTGGCAAGGTTTTGTCCTATAGTGGAGAAGAAGTCATTGAGTCTGTTTGCTGTTTCTGTTGGTGGGAGTTGGGGTTCATCTGATTTTGCTAATTTTATTTCGCTATTTCGTGATATCTTTTTTGTTCCTAGAATTTCTGATAGGGTTTTCCAGGTCTTTTTTATATCACCTCGTAAGTTGGATAATCTGTTCTCATAATACAATTTTTTTGCCCTTCTTATCAGGCTGGTTAGGATTGACGAGTAACGTTTTGTTGGTCTCTGGTTATGTGACCCATTCTGTACTGTTTTTCATATTGGTGTTTTGTATTTATGGATTTGAGAATGCGGGGTGTTAACCAGGGACTGTTCAGTCTCTTAGCTGTCATCTTTTAGTTTTTTTAGGGCAGTGCTTGTTATAGAGGTATTGGGTCTTTTTTAGAAAATTATTAATACATTCGTCAATATCTGTATAGATTTCTAGCTCAGTGTGCCAGTCAATGTTTGCTACTGCTTTTTGTGAAGTTATTAATGGCTGCCTCATTGTGAAGTCTGAAGGTGACTTTAGTAGTGTCTTGGGGTAATTTACCAAGAGTTGTTATGAGAAAAGTAGGGTAGTGGTCTGTGGTATTATCTGTAATTATGCCTGATTTTAAAGGGATATGGTGTTGGTCCAGATGTGGTCAAGTAGGGAAACACTAGTCTCTGTAACTCTTGTAGGTTTTGTTACTGTTGGTAGCAACATACAGTTACTCATTGTGTTTGTGAATTCAGTAACGTGTGGGTCCGGGGTCTTGCAGGAGATTTATATTGAAGTCACCTGGGGATTAGTAAGTGATCTTTGTTCATGCGTGCATCAGTTATCATACTTCCTAGGTTTTGACTAAATTGGCTAATGTTTGACTGTGGAACTCTGTAAATGTTTATCAATGTGAGAGGTTTTTGTAGGTATTTGGATTTGAATTTGGCTATTATATATTCCCCATGTTCATCCCTTGTGCAAGTATTAGTGATACATTCTAGTTGGTCTGAGTAGTATATGGCTGTGCCACCCCCTTGTTGGTCTGGCCTACAGTTGTGTATGGCTGTGTAACCAGGAATGGCATAGACATCTGTACTATCAGGCTTTAGCCAGGTTTCAGTTAGTGTAATGATGGACATATTGGCATGTAAGGAATTTAGTAATGCTATGAGGTCATCGTAATGCTTGCTTAAAGATCTGATATTGTAGTTAAAGATAGTTATGTTGTTGTTGGCACTGAGAAGTGCCTTTGATTGTTCTGCAGTGTAGTAATTACAGTAACTGTTTGAATCATTTTAAGTCATTAAATAAGAGGTTGGTATCAGGATCAATGCTTGTAATCATAAGATTGTAGTGAGTCTATAGTTAGAATTAAGTATAAAACAAAGTAAATAGTCTTAAGCTAAAAAATAGCACCTGAATTATTTAACAAATGTAAAATAATGAGCTAAGGTAGTTTTGGAATATAATGGCAAAGTTGTGAACTTATTCTACTTTAGGCACCTGAGAATAGCACCTTGATTATTTTAACAATTGTGAATGTATAAACTAGGGTAGTATATATAAAGCTAAAATAAAGGAGAAAATATATGAGGGACTAAAATTAAGTAATGGTAAACAAAGTTAAATGGACAGGTGGTCACTATGAAATAATATTGGTTTAGGAGTAAGATCTGATTTGTAATATTAAATAAATTGAGCAGTTTATTGCACAATAAAAGTAAAAAAAATGAGGTAGTTGGTACTAGCTAGCAAAAGATAGTTTTGGTACTTGCAAAAAAGTAATTGGAATATACACTAATTGCATACACAATAAAAAGTGACTAAAAAACAAGTAGTGATAAACCAAAATTAAATGGACAGGTAAGAATAATGAATATTATTAATTTGGAGTAAGATTTGACTTGTAATTTAAAATTATGAGCAAATTTATAGTAGTAAGAAAGAAGTATAGAGTATTGGAGGTATTTCATTAGCTAGTGATGAAAAATAATAAAAATAATAATGTACAATATAATAGTAACGTACACTATATGCACCACACGTATATATGTATTAAGGGCACTTATCTAATCTGTTACAAAAATGTCAGCTTTTCTAAGGAAGGTAGAGAAATCGTGTTCATTTGAGATAGTATATTGTTGTCCTGTTGATGTTTTCCTTACTAGTATTTTCCCATCTCGCGTGAAACACTGATGTATTTTGTTTTCCTGTTTAAGTTTTCTCAGCCTGAACAGAAGGTTTTGACGTTTTTTTGTTAGACACTCATTTATGTACACTCCATTTTTGGACTATGGAGCAAAACTTTTCTCCAAACTGAGGGACTGGCCACCTCAAAACTACGTCTTCGAGGGCAATGGACTGATGACATCGTCTTTACATCTCTACTGCTGCTCACTCTTCTGTACTCGACTGAAGAAGCCTGCTAGGTAGGCTAAACATTTCGGAATAAAGATACCTAACTGTTGCACATCATCAAAAAATGTGCGCCTCAGATGTGCTCTGTAAAATATTCACCCCAAGATCCTTTTCCTTGAGTGAGGTTTGTAGTCTTTGGTCCCCTAGACTGTACTCTGTCTGCAGTCTTCTTTGACCTTCCACAATATTCATGACTTTGCACTTGGTGGGGTTAAACTCCAGGAGTCAGTTGTTGGACCAGGTTTACAGCCTGTCCAGATCCCCTTGTAGTCCTACCTGATCCTCATCCACTTGAATTCTCCACATTAGCTTCACATCGTCTGTAAACAGGGACGCCTCTGAATCTATTCTTTTCGTCA